CGCCTGTTCTACTTCTGGAGTCCACCATGGGGGCTGTAGAAAATTAGTTCTGACAGTTATGTTGCATGCTTCCTGTCTGAGGCGTCCAAGTATGTTGTTGGTCCACCTATACTGGAAGGTCTTGCGTGCTCTCCCAGCCTTAACCTTACTGAGTTTAGAAATCAAGACTGAACATGGTAGGTGATCACTCCCATGGTCATTCAGGACAGTCCATTTAACATCTAAAACCGACAACTGAGAGATAAATGTCAAGTCAATGGCTGTCTGCATCGTCAGACCTCATTGCCATTCTAGTCGGCCTCCCATCATTGATGCAGACCATATCGGAGTCAACCTTGGCCTCTGCAAGAGCTGTTCCCTGTAGGTTTTCTCCTCTGCTGTCCCATTCTCTGTTCCTCGCGTTGAAATCCTTCCAAAACTTTCCCAATGTCTTAGCGCCCGAAGTCTCGTCAATAAAATGCTCACATTTTTTTCTTCTTGCGCACAGCGCTTGAAAAACTTTATCCTATCTTTATTGTCTCTTTCAGCGCACTCCAGTTCCTCTTGTGAGTTTAGTGCTGTCTGTTGCAATTTCATTAAATACTTTACTGCAGCTCTCTTTACCCTGCATGCCTGTTCTACCTCTGATGTCCATCACGGCGATTGCAAGTAGATCTGCCGGTCCTTTCACATGCCCTCTGTCGGAGGCGTCCAAGAAGGGTGTTTGTCCGCACTTGAAAGACTTATGAGCTCTTGAAGCCTGGACTTTTTTGGATTTTGAAATCAATACCGAACATGACAGATGGTCACTTCCACGATTGCCCAGGACCGTCCATTTGGTGTCCAGTACTGCTGACTGGGTAACCAAAGCCAGGTCAATAGCCGTGACTGCATCACTGGGCCTTTTGCCATTCTAGCTGGCCTCCCATTATTTAGTCAGACAAAGTCTGAATCAACCACGGCAGCAGCAAGGGCAAATCCCTGTCGGTTTTCCCCAAAACGGTCCCATTAATTGAAATCCCCACGAATAAGGATCCTGTTGCCAGGAAACCCCCCCCCCCCAAGTCTCCTTTTCCCCAGGCCTTTTAGCCAGTCCCACAGATTGCGACAGATTATGTGTAATAAGTACCTAGATAATCTTATAACGCTGTGCTATTTCAAAAGTAGCTTATTATGTCCTTGTTATAACCGTTGATCATCTTCATTTATGACAGCTCTTGAAGTAGGCCTAATTATTTTCAAAGATTACATGGCCATTTCCCTGCACCTCGATTTTCGTTCGAATAATAAATTGCCTGATCATGCCACGCAAATTTCAGAAGCTGTCCACGTGTAAAAGTTTTTTTTTCCAAAAGGCATATGTAAGAGACTGATTAATATATTCAGTTTTCTTTGAAGTTATATACATTAAACAGCAGGTAGTGCGCTATTATTGTAGGTCTGCCATGATTCACGGGTTTCTTCCTGTAAGTTGATGATGACGATGTGTGCTGTTAGCAGAAAATATTTTTCGATCAATTTCTTTTTTATTTACTTCATATGTGTGGAAGTGTTTGCTGATTAAAAGCATTCATGCTCCTACATGCAGACATTCCTTCTGGTAATTAATTATTTACATAATGAATGTCAACATTCCTTTGGCAATATTGCATTTGCCAGCTTGGCTTTTGGGAGAGGAGAGTAAACATTTTCATATTTGAGTAAAAATATTCAATAGTTCTAGGGAAAATATTTTAATTAAACTTTATAATTTTTAATGGTTTTATCAAAAACATTGTTTTATCTTCAGTGAAAAAAAAAATACTAAAAATATATAATACTTTTATGAATGCTCATTTGGCAGTTTCGTATCTGGTACAAGTAACGGTTTTGGCCGGTAAGTTGTAGATGGAAGGTTTGGGTTTTAAATGATATAATTTAGTTCATTCAAACATTTTGGTTGTGTAGTTGCTATTAAAATGAGCATGTTTTAAAATGAGATAAAAAAAATAGTGGTATAAATGGGTTTAGGAGGGAATATTTCTTATAAATTTAATAAACGCCCCGTGTTATAGCATTGTCACTCGACTTCCGGTGCGGAGCGAGAGTGACAAGAATTGTCGTGACATTCACACACGGTAACCGATTGTTGTATTTAATCATTTCACGAGGTGAGGGGAGCTCAGGTAAAATGTTATTATATTATATTTAAACCGAAGATTTACTTTATACGTAATCCTTATTTAAGTTGAATAAATTTTTCTTAGTTTGCTAGCATCGAAAGGAAAGGGGGCGTGACGAAGTGGATGATCACGTAATGTTACTACTAAACTAACCACTAACAACTACAACACTCCTGAATCTTATTTTTTTTAAATCTATTTTGTTTTGCACACACACACACACGCACATATTTATATGCAATTTCATTTTCTCGGGCTCTTTTTCTTCTTCGCCTTAACTGGCTGCAAACTCTGGCGGAAAGTTCTGCCTACCTCTGAACTGCAGTCCTTTCCCAGAACCTGAGTGGTGGGTGCGCATCTGTTTTAGTCAAACTTTTTAAATTCTATGCAGACAGTTGGCTTCTTGTCTCTCAGGCAGATTCACTCTGACTTAGACAAAAGCTCCTAATTAGTCAACTCTTACAGCATGGCTTTGGGTAGGCAGTGGGTCTGTTTTTCTTTTCCTCACCATGGGGCAACGCAGCTCACAGGGGGAACATTTTCTTGGGCACATATGTCAGTATTCCAGAAATCCCTAGCTTTTTACTGAGTCTTCAGAGAAAGAAATGAGGAGGTCTAAAAATTCTGGGCTATCCTCCGAATAACGGTCCCAAATTATCGAGGCCGAAAATATACCTTAACAGGGCCTCAGTCACGGTTCAATTGCGCACTTCCGGGGACTATAACGCCACCGCCGAATTGGGAACTTCTGGGGACTATACCACCACCGCTGAGAGTGTTCCCCACGCCGCATGAGCGGCGTGGATTGGGGCTAAACTAGATGGCTAGGACTCACAAGCAAAAAAATTGAAGGAAGCTGCAGGAGATGCTGCTCGTGAGTCCCAGCCATCTAGTTAAGCCCCAATCCACGCGGCGTTAGCGGTGTGGGGGATACTCTCGGCGGTGTCGGAAGTTGCCGGAAGTGCGTATTTAAGATGACGGAAGTGCGCAATTGACACGTGACTGAGGCCCTGTAAGGGTATATTTTTGACCTCGATAATTTGGGACCGTTATTCTTAGGATAGCCAAATTCCGATTTCCTGCGACACATCCCACTCTCACTTTTTCTTAGCTTGAATTTACCGAGTTAAGAATCAACATCATGGCATACCCATATGTGCTCCGTCTACCGTAGCAAATGTCTGAAAGTGTAGATGCTAAATGTTCCTGTAGCACACTGATTATACACACCTTGTTTTCTTCCTCTCATTTGCTGGTTCTTGCAGGATCCACTCCTAATTCTTTGTTTTGCACATTCTTTACAAATGTTATTTGATGTAACCAATGTCTTCTATCAACATTCGTTCATATATGGTTTTTATAATGTCTCCCTTGTCCAGTACGAGTGTTCCCACAGCTATTGCTTTTGTTGCCAGAAAATCCGCTTTTTCATTCCCTTGTACTCCTGCATGTCCTGGCCGGTATATCCACGTGATTTCCTGCAGTGTTGACGTAATCAAGCTTGGTTTCCACTCATGCCACGTTTGTCTATTTTGAACTTTTTGCAGTATCGACTGTGAATCAGACACAATAATTCATAGAATCGACACACAAATTTCTCTGCTAACTTTGTTTTATGCTATCCACCTCAGTACTGCGTGGCGCCCCCCCCCCCCCTCCCGTTTTGAGTGAGTACACTACACTTTGAGGTAGTGTTGGGTAGTGGCTAGATGCCCACTTGTCAGCCCTAAGATGATGAGTTTGAATACACTTTATAGTCAGAATTGTTTTTGTTTTCAATGACCTTGACTTTCAGATCAACCTGGCCTAAAATGGGTACCAGGTGAAGTCCCGGAAGTAATGATGGCATGTGTAAAGTAGACCATATTTCCTATGGAGTGCCAGTTGGCCAACCAAAATATGTGTCTAGCCTCAAGTGCCCGATATGCCACTGGCATGACAAATGTCCTTTACTTACTTTTATTTACACTACATGTTAAGCAGCATTTGGTTGGGGAACTGGTAAAGGATAAGACACTTTTTGCTGCTGTTTTAAAAGCGGTGTGAGCATGTTAGCCAAGTAGTGAGTCCAGAATTATGAGTATATGTACACAGTTACTTTAGACAGCTATAAATCAGTTGAGTATCATCTAAAATATAACACATTTTCATTTAGTCCAATGGAGGTTACTGGTCACTGTACCAAGCTGTCTGTCCGTTCGACCGATGTAAGTCAACTGGCACCTACATGTAAATATCGGAAATAGAGTGGCAGAGCACATACCCAGATAGTTACATATACAGTTCAGTGATTTTTCTAGGGTGTCAAGACCAGTCAAGAGGAAAGAACCCGCTTCTTCAATAGGACGTCATCTTCTTAATTCCGGACACCTAATTGACACAGACAGTGCTTTCCGTGTGGTTTACCACACTCTGAACAGGAGACTGTTGAGAATCACCGTAGCTTTAACAATTAAAAACAACCCCCCCCTCCTTTGTAAGCAGATGGATTTTATTGTAAATTGGAAGTTACCCTGGTAAGTCACATGACTCTCGTGAACTTCCGGCGGCCAAATAACACACACGATGTGTCAGAAGAAATTGTTCGCATTTCAGTTGGATTTATTCAGTTTTGTGCTTCGTTTTATGTTGATGTAACTCTGTAGTAACGCACCTGATGAGATACAGCGAAATATGCCTGGCAATAAATTGTGCAATGTATTGCTTGTGTTCACATTATTCAAATTCATTATGGGAAAACATTGTTTTGAATTTAGTCCAATGTTAAATGATATTTTTAAAAGATTTTTGTTGAACTTTTTACATTGTGACAGGTTTTTTGCAGTTTGATTTAAAGAGTGAAATAAGAAGACAGCTGCCATGACAGACTCCAAGTATTTCACAACCACCAAGAAAGGTAAGGCAATATTGATTCTGTTAGACATTCTGTTTGTACAGGTGTACCTTTTTTTGTTTGATACTTATTAATTTAAAAAAAAACCTGTGTTGGCCCTGGGGACCCATTATGGAGAAAACAAGAATAGACCCACTGCCTTCCCAGCAAGCATGTCGTAGGAGTCGACTAACTGGGGACTTCCTTTGAAGTCGGAGTGCATCTGCCCGAGAGGCAGAACAACCAACTGCCTACAAATAAGTCAATAAAACGAATGTACACACAAAACTGAGGTCCTGGTTCAAAGCCAAAGTCAAAATGGACGAACAACCAGGATATTTTACTGGAGCTTACAGCCGGTGAACAAAGAAGAAGAATTTAAAAAAAAATGAAGTCTATTATGGCATTGGATAGGTCACACGTTGAGAAAACCTGAGAACAGTATAACTAGAATGTCTTTACACTGGAACCCACAGGGATATAGAAATAAAGGAGGACCGAAAAGCACACAGAGAAGGGAGCTAGAGAGTGAAGTTAAAAAAATGGGAAGGACATGGGGAAAGCTGCATGCGACAGCGAAGGATAGAGCAACTTGGCGTGAGTTGGTTGAAGACCTATGCTCCATTTGGTGCTAGAGAGAGAGAAGAAGAAGAATTATAATGGGAGAGAGTGCAAACATTTTTTTTATATAAAAAAAAAAGTGGCAATGGCCTAGAGGCATTGGAGGTGTGGTTTCTGAGATGAAGGCTGTAAACGCCTTGGACAGCTAGAGTGACTTAATTATGACCTCGAAAAATGCTGAAACAAGATAACAAGAAATTGCAGTAAAACCTCAGTTTTTGGTACTTGATTCATTCTTAAAAGTTGAGATACTGAGTTGTTTAAAAACTGAAACTTATTCCTACGTAAAAATTAATATAAAATGGATTGTTTCAACTCTTACTCTAAATGATTGTTTATATGTTTTAACATTTACAGCAATATGGCATACATACTATTGTAAAGAATAGGCTTAATTAGAGTTTTGTGGGGAGGGGGATTTCACTGTGATAAAATCCAATTCCTCCGTTAGCTCGCCTACAAGGCTTGGCAGCGAGCAGGACCATTGTGAAGGAACTTGAGGATAGTTGCTCTTTCATCCCATTAAGTATGTGGTTTCAGGATTAGCTTTTTGGTAACCAAGGTTCTGTTTGGAACCTGAGTCGTTTTGTCTTCTAAATTTGTTACCAATACCGCCTCTTTAAGAGCAACCCCTGAATAAGAAGATGCAGATTTCTTCAGTTTAGCAATAATAATAATGTTTTTTTTTGTAGGAATAATGTTTTAATTTAAGCAATAATTGTAGTTTTTTTAATGTTAAAATCATATATGCTTAAAAAGTAAAGGTCCCTTTTTAACACCTGCAGGCATATTGGGCATAAAGGTACTCGGCACTCGGGGATGTAGTCAGCATCACGCTGGACACCTTTACTTCCCAGAACTATCTGATACCCATTTTAAGGCTGGGTCAACCTGGGAACCAGAATCATCTTTGTAAAAAATTCCAGCTCCATCAGGATATATATATATATATATATATATATATATATACACTAATACTTTATGAAGAACATTTTTTTTCAATCTTTGTTTCTCAATTGAGACGAGAAAGAGAATTCTTAAAAGTTTTATAAATCCTATCTTGAAATACGGAAGTGAATCATTGACAGCTGGTAGATTAGTGAAAAAGTATTTGGAGGCTGCGAAGATGTGGTTTTAAAGATGGATGCTGAGAATATCCTGGACAGATAAAAAGAGTAATGAGGATGTCTTGAAAGAGACTAACTCACAAAAAGAACTCATTGCCCACACCAGAAAAAGATAATCTACACGTTTTGATTGTGTGATGAGAAGGAGAAAACTGGAGTACATCGTGACGGTGGGAAAACTGGAGGGGAGGAGAGGCAGAGTCAGACCGAGAGAGGGAAGATGCTGGATGGTTTGACATCATGACATGGAAGATGGTCTGTGTCAGAGTTGACTGAATGTACAGGAGAAAGTTGTGGATATATATGACTAGCAATGCCACACGGCAGGGACTTTAAGCAGAAGACACTAATACTTTACAGAACGACAATTGTCTGACATTTATTTCAGGTGAAATATTTGAGCTCAAGGCTGAGCCCAGCAGTGATAAAAAAGAGAAGAAAGTTGTAGATAGATATGACTTTGGAGTCGCGTTAGCGCATTCAATAGGCAGCTCGCTTTCAAATCCAGCTGCGACTTGCTGCAGTCACGGTCAGTGTTCGAAACTGGGCTGTTCCCGGGGTTTACCCAGCCTCTAGGAAATGGGTACCAGGGTTGACACACTGGGATAAATTGAGGAACGTCACTGTAGCTACGGAGTTACGCGCGGACGGCGACACAGGCGGACAGTTTCTTGTCAGCTGTCCGTACTAGTGGCAGAGCACTTATGGTTTATAACCGTGTGCAATGACGCTGGTTCACATCTCCCGACTTTACTTTAGAAATGACTACCAATGCCACACTGCAAGGACTTTTAAACTAATACTTTACAGAAAGACAATTGATGGTCTGACATTGATTTCAGGTGAAATATTTGAGCTCAAGGCTGAGCTAAACAGTGATAAAAAAGAGAAGAAAAAGGAAGCTGTAAAAAAAGTCATCGCAAGTATGACTGTTGGCAAAGATGTTAGGTAAGTATATAATTACCAGCTGTAGTGTCGGGGTTCATCACTGGAGACGCGGGGTTTTTTGCTTTGTGGGAGGTGCTGGGCAGACTACCAGCCCTTAAGTGAGGCAAGAAATAAGTTCTGTAATGTTTTGCTAGTTCATATGTAAGTTGCTGTTGTTTTTTTTTTTTAATTTTTTTTGGTGTGGCCTCAGTAACCCCTTGTAGAAAAACCCAAGGACCTGGGAATTCCCATAATTAACCCTTTAATAAATACAGGTCACTAATATATGTTATAAAAATTTATTAACATATTAAAAATTTTTTTTCCGATATGTGTGATGGGGGAGTACTCTCCATAGTGGAGAATTAAATGACTTCTTTACCCCAGGGCAAAAAAAAAAAAAAAATTGATATGACAACTCTTACTGAGACCTTTGACCCCACATTTGCCAAAGACTAAAGGGGAATTATGCATCATCATGGCATTTAAAAAAAAAGATCTAAACACTCTGTTGTTATGAGTGGGGGGGGGGGGGGGTATATAGGGCAGACATGAAAAAAAAACATGGTAATATATCATAACTAAAGTATTCTTGCACATGACCTCACTGAGCCAAAGCAGTAAAAGTTGACCTTAAAACACACAAGGAGGATACCCCCCCCCCCCCCCCCCCCCCCCCCCCCCCCCCCCCCCCCCCCCCCCCCCCCCCCCCCCCCCCCCCCCCCCCAAAAAAAAAAAAAAAACTGATGTAAATTTATAGAGATGACGTGGGGTAAACTTTACACAATGACAAAGGACAGGATGACTTGGTGATAGTTGGTTGAAGGCCTATACTCCATTGAGTCGCTGTGGTCGATCGGCTAGACGCTCACCGCGGATCAAAAGGTCGTGGGTTGGCTCCCAGCCTTGAGTGGGTACTGGGTGCAGTCCGGGTAGTAAAGGTGGCCTGCGTGATGCTGACCACATCACCCATCTTGTGCCGATTGGTCTTTAAAAATATAGGTCTAACCCTGTATGCCCATATACGCTTTAAGGTGGGGAAAAGGGTCCTTTTACTATACTCCATTGATCACCTGTCAGGATCCAGCCACATAAAATGTTCTGAAATGTCAGACAATGCTAGTTCATTATAAGTCTGAATTTGTGACTGCCCTTGTACAGTGTCTCCTTGAAAAAAAGACCTAACCTGAAAATACATCCTAGCTTGATTTTTCAGGATGCTCATAAAATCAGCTCTACCGTAAATAAAAGCACTAGTTAATTTCATCAGCCAGACAGACGAAATTTGTTTGTCCATTGAAACACAGTGGATGTTTTGAATTATAAAGAAATGATGAATGTGTAAATAAAATTAATAAACTGAATCGTATTGACATTAATGCTGTAAATAAATGATAACATAAATGGGGATTTTTTTTTTAACATGTAAAAATATGACATGACCTTGGCTCCCAGGTCGACCCAGCCTTGAGTGGGTACCGGGTGCAATCCCGGGAAGTAGAGGCGGCCGGTGTGATGCTGACCACATCACCCATCTTGTGGTCTATAAAAATATAGGTCTAGCCCTATATGCCCTATACGCCTAAAGGCGTGGAAAGGGTCCTTTACTTTACTTTTTAAAATATGACGTCCCCGGAACATAAACCAAAGGCTGGAGCAGAAATTAATTAAATTGTGGCGCAGAAGTAACAAATGGGTTTGAAATAATAACTTTTTAGATTTTGCAGTTAGATTTAGGTCTCCAGAAATCAGTAGCATGCAGTGTATGGAGAATTGTATATAACAATATGTAGAACACAGTGTCGTATATGTGATGGCCATTATCTGGGAATTTCCTCCACTTGTTTCAGAGTGTCTGGGTTACCAACCATACTTCAGCTTGAATATTTATTATTCTCTTTGAGCTGTTCAGTGCATCCTGGTGTATTTGCATGAAATTAGTCTTTAAGATATCCATAGAGGAAATAAGAAGGAGCTGTCGAATCCAGTGAACGAGGGGAGGCCTGTTGAATGCATAATTTCTTCAGATTAGACGTTCACTAAAAGCAACTTTAACATAGTCCTGCCTGAGTTCTGTTGTTTTTGTTCTTTGATCTAGTAGTCTAACATTCCGTATTTAATTGCCCAAGCGTGCTCTACAATATCTGGAAAGGAAAATAAAAATCGTTGAATTCCCAGAAGTTGTTGTTATTTCAAACCACCTTGCTAGTTTTGCACCACTCTATATCAGGCTCAGTCTCATTTTCAGGGAAACACAACCACCATTGTTTCCTTAGACGGTCCCCAGTACGCCTTGTTAATGACATTAGTTCTGTTTGTGCCAGCCCAGTGTTTAGAGCTTTTTTTTTTTCGAAAACCATGAGGATGTCATAAGTCGTCCCCTTTTGTCTTAAGTAATTGGGCGTCAAAAGGTCACAGTATGAGTCACCATTTGAATAATTATTTTGTTTAGGTCACTTGAAAAATTAACGTTCTGGTTTTCCTTCGTCTTCCATACATCAGATGAGGAGTTTAACATTCTGTGCTATCTTTCAGTGCTCTCTTTGCTGATGTTGTCAACTGTATGCAGACGGACAATCTGGAGCTGAAGAAGCTGGTCTACCTGTACTTGATGAATTACGCAAAGACACAGCCTGATGTTGCCATCATCTCTGTCAACACGTTTGTTAGGGTAAAGTTTCCTGCACACACTACTGTTTCTTCCTTCTTCTTCTACTCTGTTTTGTTTTTAACCTCTGCCTTCCTTTGCTTCTATTTCTCTTGTTTTCTGCACTTTGACCTGCTTTTCATCCTCTCTTTATTCTCTTTCTGCATCTTTTCCCTCTTCTGCTTCTCTTTCTTCTTTATTCTACACCTCTTCTTTTTCCTTCTCCCTCTCTTTCTCTTCTTCATTTGCTTTTTTAATTACTACTTTTAACTCTTCATTTAGTGTCAAAAGGCACAAATGTCACAGCTCTGCTGCAGAGCGACAATATAAATAATGCTCTGTATTCATCATCATCATATACCTTGTCGACTGAATTTGACGTGGCATTCATGCCTCTCCACAACCTGCAATTTTCAACAGCATGTATCACTTTGTTTTTTGACTCCTCTCGATGCCATGTTAAAAGCTTTCGCCTTCACATCTTTCAAAATATCTGGGTTGCTGTTTTTACCTAAGAAATTCGAAGAATTTTTATGTAAAACCACATTTTGGAGACCTAAGAAATTTGTTGGCTTGTCCAGGATTCACAACCATAAGATAAAACTGGCTTTATATAGCGTACAGGAATTTGTTTTCTAACCTCTAGTGATATGAATTTATTGCATAAATAAAGTGTTTTTCATTTGGTAAAATGCAGTTTTAATCTGTACTGTTCACTTCTTTATCTCTGTGATACATCTTTTGTCTGATGTTATCCATGTTCTTGAATACTTCAATTTCTATACTTGTCCTAAAATAGTGCCTTTAACTTTTATTAAACATTTAGGCCCTATTCTTTGATATTGCCCTGTAATAATTTAAAAAAAAAATTACAGGACCATGATAGAAGGTGCAGCTTACATGACCAGATCAGGCACTTCATTTTTTGTTTGTATAGTTTTGTGTAAAAAAGATTAGTGCCAATTTATTTCTCCAATCCTGTCCTCATCATTGTTAAACATTTCAACCCTTGGCCCTTGAGTTTTCTGCAGGTCAATAAGAGAAACAACAAATAAAACGGTGTAACGAATAGTGCATCTGCATTCTTTGGTCATGTCATGAGAATGAGAAAACTGGAGTACATAATGACGGTGGTAAAGTTGGAGGGGAAAAAAGGCAGAGGGAGACAAAGAGAGAAGATGCTTGACAGTTTGATATTATGGCATCGAAGATCATCTGTGTTAGAACTGAATGAAAGTACATGAGACAGAAGGTTGTGGATGGACATGACTACCAACACCATACAGCATGGACTAGAAAAAGAAGAAGCTACGATGCATGTTTCAAGATGTGACCTAATGAAGACCACTGTGAGACTGACTACTTCATCTTGTAGAAAACTTCAGCTGCATGATCTGACCAATCATTAGCAAGTTTGCACAAGGTCTTTGCTCCATGCTGAGATTGAAAGGCAGAAAAAGAATATTTCATAAAATTAGTTCATAGTTAGTGTCCTTTAAATCTTTTCTTCAGGGTGTGGGGGTGTGTTGGGAAATGAATAAACAGATAGACTGGTTGATGCTGCACCACAGGGTGGTGAAATTATGCTTGACATTCTACATATGGTTTAGGCCCTTCGAGAGCAAGTGAACAATACAGATGCGTGATTAAATAACTGTGGGAAGAGACAGATGATGCAGAGAGTCACCTGGGGATCTGGCCAACACTCTTGATTCAAAGGAAAGGCAAGATGGACATATAATCAGACTACTTCTGGTACCATCAGCATTGGAACTCTTTGCTGGCTGCTGAAAATGAAGACAGAGCACTTATGGGATTGACCCAAGTGCTATGATGCCAGTTCTTAGCTTAGTAACCCAACTCAGAAGAATATTTCAGCCCTTGAACTGATCATGAAGCTTCCTGATCATTCATTTTCCTTAATCTAAAAAGTGTCACTTTCTTTAGTTACATGTATATTTCTCTCTGTTGAAACACAAATATTTATGTTTACACAGGACTGTGAAGATCCGAACCCCCTCATTCGAGCATTGGCAGTGAGAACCATGGGTTGCATTCGTGTGGATAAAATCACGGAGTACCTGTGTGAACCACTGCGCAAGTGTTTGAAAGATGAAGATCCTTATGTCCGCAAGACTGCTGCTGTGTGTGTGGCCAAGCTGCACGACATCAATGCCCAGCTGGTGGAGGATCAAGGCTTCCTGGATGCACTGAAGGATTTACTTTCTGATTCCAACCCCATGGTATGTTTATCCAGTAGCTTATCCTTACACAGTTTCACCCCATGAACTCTTTGAGTCCTAGAAGGTTGGTTAGGAGATCCTAAGGGGAGAGAAGGAGAGGATTGCTAGGAAAAGTCAGGTGTGATATGCTTTTGAAGAGGCCAATTAGACGGAGAAGTGACCTTTGGAGTAGTTAGATTTTCAGAATACGTTAGGACTAAATATAAGAAGTAAAAGAATGATGCTTCCTCTTCTTCTGCCTTTTTAACCCCAAATAGAGCATAGACCCTCAACCAACTCACGCCAGGTTGTTCTATCCTTTGCTATCGCATGCAGCTCTCCCTATGTCCTCTCCATCTTTTCAACTTCACTCTTTAGCTCCCTTCTTCATGTGTATTTTGTTCTTCCTTTATTAATATGTTCCTGTGGGTTCCAGTGCAAAGACATTCTAGTTATATTGCTCTTAGGTTTTCTCAGCATGTGTCCTATCCAATGCCAGCATCTTTTCTTCACTTTTTGGTCCACTGGAACCTATTTAGTACTCTCCCAAAGCTCTACACTAGTGATTTTATCATACCATTTAATTCTCTTTATTCTGCGCAGACACTAGTTAATAAATGTTTATAGTTTATAAGTAATTGTCTTAGTTGTTCTCCAAGTTTCCGCTCCAGACAGCAGTACTTATTTGACATTAGAATTAAAAATTTTAAGTTAAGTATTAGTTTTAATTTCTTTTGACCTCCACAAATTCCCTAGTGCTGTGAAAGCTCCTCTTGCCTTTTGTATTCATATTTTAATATCTCCCCGTCAGTTCCCCCATCTTTATCTACATTACTGCCTAAATAGGTGTATAACTCCACGCCAAAAGAGTGATGCAATGATTGGAATTTTAGGAGAAAGCAGATGACACCTCATGCGTCTCTTGGGACTTGAGTTTTCTTTTCATTTCCTCTGTCATAAACCAGATGTCCTGCCCCAGTTGCTATGTTGAATCCAGCACCATTGTAGTTTTCTTATCCTTTTCTTCCCCGTAATGCTTTCCATTGAGATTTTTTTCCTCAGACCTTTTTGTCTTTTCACATTTTCAGAATACTTTATATTCTTCAAGTTTATTTATACAAATCTTCTTCAATATTGAGTTCCTGTTGGTTAAATCTGTTTTCTTTTAAATCCGAGAGTATTTAGGACTTTTCTTTAAATCTGTATTGAAAGTGTCATATGTACCTTTCATCTGATTTGTTAAATTCTGAAGTCACTGTCATGCTAGGTGTCCCGATGAAACAATGTTAAGAGTGACTAACGTGCTGAAGGAGATTGTGTCTATTTATGTGTGGACCTGCGGGCTGCTCCTTATTGATCTCCAAAGGGCACAGACATGATAAGTGAGGAGCTCAGTACACAGAAGTGAAGTTGAGCAGTCATGTGCAGGACATGACAGTTCCTTTGTTGAGCCCAAGACCAGAGCGTGATGTATCGGCTCTGCATTCATTGAAGCCTCCTTGGATGGCAGGGAATGCACGTGAGCTGCTCCGGCCTTCCATTGAGGGCCAACCAGTCTACACGAGGTTGCCCTGGGAGATTTCTTTGTTTTTAGCTGTTATATTTTTATGATTCTGTGGATTTTGCTTGTGTCTGAGTGCAGCGTTTGATGTCGCTCTATTTCATATAATAGAAACAATATAGCAGACATAGAGACCATTTAATTGTGGGCATGTGCGTGCATGCAGAATACATTAACACCGTTGTTTGTGCAGTGTCTTTATAAAAGTGTCTTCCTTCACTGGAATAGGCTTTATAATTATTATTATTGTTGGATGTAAAAAAACAAAATTTAAATTGCAGAAACAGCTCTCTGGTTTATAAAGTGAGACTCCTTTTTGTGCTAAATGTTGACTGTCATTCTTTGTCCGTTTCCAGGTTGTAGCAAATGCTGTTGCAGCCATTTCAGAGATTTTGGAAACCTCCACCACAGCTCAGCCCAGCCTGGAGATGAACTCTGGAACTATTAACAAGCTGCTGACAGCTCTCAATGAATGTACCGAGTAAGTGTTGTCATACTTTGTCATCATCATCATCTTCTTATTATGATCCTCTTGTAACTCATACAGCGTCAGGGGAAGTATAAAAAAGGTAAAGTTGGGAGATGTGAACCAGCATCATTGCACAGGGTTATAAACCATAAGTGCTCTGCCACCAGTACAGACAGCTGATAAGAAACTGTCTGCCTGTTTCGCTTTTTGCACGCAGCTCCGTAGCTACAGCGGCGTTCCTCCATTTATGCCAGTGTTAACTCTGGTACCCATTACCTAGAGGCTGGGTGAACCCTGGGGAACCGCCGGTTTCGAACACCGGCACTGGGCTGCAGCGAGTCGCAGCTGGATTTGAAAGCGAGCTTCCTATTGACTGCACTAACCCTGCCAGGGGAAGTATAAATTGATACCTGTGTATGTGACTGGTATAGGATCCACAGGGACTTTCTTATTCATCTGTGTCCATTGTTTTCACCTGAAATATAAATCATTGCTTGTTATAGTATTCTGTCAGTTAGCAGATGAGTTAAATGACCAAACTTCACTTGTTGTTTTCTAAGACATTTAGCGCTTTTACTACCCCTGCATTGTTTCAAACTTCATCTTTTCTGATCTTGATATGTTGAGTGCTCTTCTTGGTAATCCTGTTTCATTGGTAATCATTTTACTTTTCTCTTTTTCTGGCTTTTTTAACATAAAATTAGTAACACTGTTGTGTACTTTCTTGGTGTCTGATGATACAGGTTTGTTTCTTATTATTGGTGCCATATGTGAAAAAAATGGTTCCTTTGTATTATTAACTGCTTTTTCTATCATTTAGTTAAGTCTTCTGCTTTTTTTTTCCATTCACTGGCTGTAAACTCCAGCAGAAAGTTCTGGTTGTTCGTTCACGTCTGGATTTTAGTCTTGTTCCAGCTGTTGAGTTTTGCGTTCACATACGTTTTACAGATCTGTTGTATTTTTAATCATACTATAATTCCTGGCCTATCAGGCAGATGCACTCCGACTTCGAAGGGACCACTCACAGTTAGTAAAATTTTACAACATGCATGTTAGAGGGGCAGTGGAACTATTTTTTCCCCACCAAAATGGACCCTCGGAAGATATACAGAGATTAATTATAGTAAAACCTTGTTAACACACATTCCAAGGGACCGAACAGTCAGGATTTTCTGTTGACAAATGTGTGCTAGCTGGGGATTAGTAGATGTATTATAATTAATACATTCCTGTTGGGGCTAAAATTGTGTTCATGTTAACCGCATTCATATTAATGAGGTTTTACTATATATGTAACCAACATTGTTTGTTTCGTATTGTGATAATTTTATCATTATCCTTCTGTTCTGCCATTTATACGTCACATACGACTCCTAGTTAGTTGCTCTATTCCTTACTATTCTATGCAGTCCTTTTGGTATCAAGTTCAGAATCCAGTCCATGTCCTCTCATTCCCTAGTCTTTTACCTAATCTTCAATTTGTTTATTTTATACATTGTTGATTTTATTATTTGAGTTCTTAATATCGTCCCAAGTTTGGCTTGGTATGAAATAACTGCTCATGAAGTAGGTTTCACCTTTTTTACACTGATCAGTATTTCCTAATTATAATTACAGATGGGGACAGGTGTTCATTTTGGATTCAATCTCAAACTATGCACCAAAGGATGAAAAAGAAGCACAAAGGTGAGCATTATGTAGATATCATTACCCAGACTATTGCCAGGTTGTTTTATTAATTCAAGCACCTATATACTGTTTTCATATGGCTGTGAATCCTAAACAGTTGAGAATTCAAGGCTTTACTATCACCATGTGAGGTTAGGTAAAACTAACGTTAGCCTTCCCACAGACTGCCCATATACACATTAGCCCACTTCTGATTGATAGACCTTGAGCCACGTGACCTTGGCACAAAGTTACTGGGGTTTTCATCAATGCCGTTGATATCATGTGTTGTATATTTCAGCACGCCAGTGCTTTTAACACTCCAAAAACATGGACAAACTGGGTCTAACACAACCCCCCTAGAGAGTGTGGTAACCTATGTCACGGGCATTCTCTTTCTCGGAATAAAAACGTAACTACAAGACAACCCAGAAAGCAAACAACAGAGCGGCACACTCGAAACCTGCAGGAAAATAGACCAGCCCAACAAACTTGTGAATGAAATGTGACCTACTTTGTTTGGGGAGACTAATTTAAACCTAACCTGAGGTTACACGTACCATGTTTTGGCATTCTCAAGAGGTGCTGTGGGCATATCTCCCCAAAAAATTTTTTGATGTGTCTTCAGCTTGATCCACTTTGGGTCATAAACTGGGATGTCAGCTTTTCTCTTAAATTCCCAAAAGCGCTGTTTTCAGGTCTGCTGGGTGCGACCCTATGTCGCTTTGCAACCACTCCAGGAGAGGACAGTCTTTGAGAAGCAGTGGCCTGGCGGACAGATGTCCAGACATTTTAGTGTGTTAGCTAGACTTGTGTCACATTTTTCATGGCAGTGTAAACAGGGGGTCATGAGCCTGAGGATTTAGGGTCGCAGAATAGTGTTGTCGCCACTGACTGCGCAGGTTAGGATGTTTAATTTTGCTCCCCGACAGAATTACCCCATCACCTTTCTGGGAGGTGAACCCGGCTCTACCGCATGAGAACCTGAGGTTGTAGCCACTCGGCCAGTTGCTTTTAAAATGATGAACAATTATAATTCCATACGTGAAGAACAGTTATTTTGTATCTGTTTGTATCATCATCCTCTTTTTGTTTGAATCGTGTAAATAATTCTGTCTTTTCAGCATATGTGAGAGAGTAACTCCACGTCTGGCTCATGCTAATGCAGCAGTGGTTCTTTCAGCTGTCAAAGTAAGTTTTCTTGTCAGTCTGTATGCCTTGACTTTGGAAATACTTCCTTTTTCACCCCTCCTGCAAATATTATGTTTAGGCAGTAGCATTTTATTAAGAAAATAAAACATAATCTGTAAATTTTGTATCATCATTTCAAATTCCCTGTCTTAATTTTCACCTTAAATTATATAACAAATTGCATTCTAATATAGAATGAATGGGGCATATTGAAAGAATGTCAGATGACAGAGAAGTAAAAACTATACACAAGGGAGATGAATGGTAGTAGACCGCTAGGCAGACCAAGAAGACGAGGTATAGATAATGTCCAGACAGACCTGCAAACACTTGGTGTCACCAACTGGAAAGAAAAGGCCGACCAGAGAGATGAATGGAGGCGGGTGATGTTTGCAACAATGAACCTCAAGGACTCAAAACGCTAAGAAAAAGAAGAAGAAGATTCCCATACAGCCTGCACGTCGTAAGTCTGCGTGCATCATAGCTGGCATTTGGCAGTATCCTTTGCCCCAATTAGGAGCCTAGTAACCTAAATGGGTAGCAAAGGTAGTCACCCATTGCAGCTTCATGTCATTCTTTTTTCTTCCGTTTCTCTTTTCCTGTATCCCTCATTGTTGTCTCCTGTGGCTTCCTTCATATCCTTCTCATATTCATCTGTCTGTAAAAAGCTTTTTCCCCATATGGGTTCCAGGGCCCCATTTAAGGGTGGCAGGGGGAGAATAGACCCACTGACCCCCCCCTTTCCTTCCCCCGACAAGCACGTCGTAAAAGTCAGCTAATTAGGGGTGTTTCCTTTGGAGTGCATCTGCCTGAGTGGAGAGCAACCAACAATTTGCTTACAAATAAGCTAAATCTGAAAAACGTGTGCATGAAAAACTTAGGTTCTGGAACAAGACTAAAGAGTAGAAGTATCTGAACAGCCACTTTCCACCGGAGTTTACAGTCAGCGAATGTAATAAAGAAGAGGTAGTAAACCATGTCTTCTCTTATTTTAAGATCCAACGCAAATATTGATGATTTCTTCTTTAGCTTTTTTTTCCTTAGTGAACCATAAGCCCTCAACCAGCTCTCAGCAGGTCATTGTGTCTTTTTCTGTCTTGTGCAGCAACTTACTTCATGTCACACTCGTGCTTCCCCCCCCCACACACACACACACACACATACCATGCCACCCTCCTCCACCATCTTTTTCACTCAAGTTTTTAGTTCCCATATCTCTGTATTTTTAGGGCTGCCTTTATTCTTTTTACCATGTGGTTTCGAGTGCAAGGACATTCTAGTTGTATTGTTATCTCGTTTTCCTAATGTGTGTCCTACCCGATTTTTATCTATATTATTGCCAAAATAAATTCATGACGCCACATCTTAGACTGGGGTTTTCCCAAGGTTCTTGTATTTAAAATTTTTTTACCTGCTCAATTTCATTTTGTTTGACAGTCCTAAAATGCAAATCCTGTGGTTTTTATTTTATTTACCGTCACTTCTGCCCTTCACGCTTGATACATAGATCTAATATTCTATGTGCCAGTTTTGGAGATTTTCCAAGGTGAAAGGGGGTGTGTCTGCAATCCAGTCATATGATTGGCCTTGGCCATTATCAGCAGATATGATTTTGTCCAGCAAACAGTATTAAAAGATAGTCATGTGTTTGGTGAAATGTTGTTGGCAGGTCATCATGAAGTACATGGAGATTCTAGACATCCATGGAGACTATGTGACCATGCTGGTCAAGAAGTTGTCCCCTCCGTTGGTGACCCTGCTCTCTGCTGAACCTGAGATACAGTATGTGGCGCTTAGGAATATCAATCTGATTGTCCAGAAAAGGTTTGTGTACTTGTGTTGTCTTGTACTGTCCAGGAAAGGCTTGTGTACTTGTGTTGTCTTGTACTGTCCAGGAAAGGCTTGTGTACTTGTGTTGTCTTGTACTGTCCAGAAAAGGTTTGTGTACTTGTCTTGTACTGTCCAGAAAAGGTTTGTGTACTTGTCTTGTCTTGTACTGTCCAGAAATGGTTTGTGTACTTATGTTGTCTTGTACTGTCCAGAAAAGGTTTGTGTACTTGTCTTGTCTTGTACTGTCCAGAAATGGTTTGTGTACTTATGTTGTCTTGTACTGTCCAGAAACGGTTTGTGTACTTGTCTTGTCTTGTACTGTCCAGAAATAGTTTGTGGCTTTGCACTGATTATCTCAGACATTTTTTTGTTTATTTCCTTGCATGACTGCATTTACTGTTCATAATCATCATCAACTTCCATTTTTGTTATTAAGCATCATGGGGAGGAACAATTTCCGGTCCGGCACATGATGGCCATTTGTCAATGTCTTTTTGTGTTGACTGTTTATTTGAGATAGTTTAAACAGTGATGTCTCATTGGTCATTGTCTTTTCATGCTGATTGTTCATGTATTGGGATGGTTTAAATAGTGATGTCTCATTGGTCATTATCTTTTCATGCTGATTGTTCATGTATTGGGATGGTTTAAACAGTGATGTCTCATTGGTAATTATCTGTTCATGTTGATTGTTCATGTATTGAGATGGTATAAACAGTGATGTCTCATTGGTCATTGTCTGTTCATGCTGATTGTTCATGTATTGGGATGGTTTAAACAGTGATGTCTCATTGGTCATTGTCTGTTCATGCTGATTGTTCATGTATTGGGATGGTTTAAACAGTGATGTCTCATTGGTCATTGTCTGTTCATGTTGATTGTTCGTGTATTGGGATGGTTTATACAGTGATGTCTCATTGGTCATTGTCTGTTCATGTTGATTGTTCATGTATTGAGATGGTTTAAACAGTGATGTCTCATTGGTCATTGTCTGTTCATGCTGATTGTTCATGTAGTGAGATAGTTAAATAGTGATGTCTCATTGGTTATTGTCTGTTCATGCTGATTGTTCATGTAGTGAGATAGTTAAACACTGATGTCTCATTGGTCATTGTCTGTTCATGCTGATTGTTAATGTAGTGGGATAGTTTAAATAGTGATGTCTCATTGGTCATTGTTTGTTCATGTATTGAGATAGTTTAATCAATAATGCTAAACGAAATGCTATGTAAATATTTCAAACAACTTCCACCATGTGGTTTCTGGCTCCTCATCCCTGAGTGGAATAAGCCCACAGCTCTTTAACGAGCATGTCACAAAAGATGACTAATTAAAGATTTGCTTCAATCAGATGTTTTGGGCTCAAAGGCGCAGATATCACAGCCTATCTTTAAACCACAAAATAGCTTGCCAATTGTCCTTTTAAGGGTGAATACAAGAAGAAAACCAACAGAAGCCAGTTTTAAAGAAGGTCAACCCAGAAAATGAGGAACTTTACTTTCCAGAGGAAGAATTTGATCCACACACAATAAATGAGCTACTATTTGCAGACGATCAGTGCCTGTTATACAGTGAGGAAAGTAGACTGCAAGAACATTTGAGCAGGCTAAGTTCAACATACAGAAGAATTACCATGAAAACAAAAACTACTAAAACTGAAATAACGCAGGTCAGTAGAATTCCTAGTCCGCTACATATTGGGTTGAATGGTTATTGTCTCAAGCAAGTTGAAGAATTCAGATATCTTGGAAGTGTTTTCTTGGAGGATGGGAGAATAAATCATGAAATAGAAACAAGATGCCAACAAGCCAGTGCTCTTCTATACCAACTGACTCCGTTATTAAGACATCCAAACATAAGTATGAGCGCCAAGACACAGATTATAAACAGCATGTTCATACGAACACTGTGCTACCAGTGCCAGACTTGGATATTATTAAAGACTAACCTACGTAAAATTAACATCTGCGAAATGAGATGCCTGAGAAAAGCCGCTGACTTAACCATCCAAGACAAAGTGAGAAATGTTATTAGGAACAACACCATGCAGAAAATTTATTGAGAAACAGAAGATCAAATAGTTTGATTTTTTTAGTAAGAATGCAGCCATAACAACTACCAACACAGGTGCTGCACATGAAAAGATCTGAAGGTGAAAGCAAGAGGTCGACCTAGGAGAAGATGGATTGATGAATTTAAAGAGCTTCTACATCAATATGGAATGACAATAGCCATTGTGCACATCAAACATTGGATCCTCCCCACCATGCTTAACAGCAGAAGTAGAAATTGATGATGATAATGATGACAAGAAGAAACTCTAGTGAATGTAACTAATGGTAAAGTACTGGGCCACAGGTTTGTTGAAACATCACAGCGTAGCTCACTTCATAATGACCTCAAGAAGTTTATGACAAACGCTTATAGAGTCTGTAGGATTGGATAAAATGTGTTGGATAGAACATACTTTGAGAAAACCTGATAAAAATAAAACTAGAACCCACATGGAAAAAAAAAGTATAGGTGGACCAAAAAACATTTGGATAAAAGAATCAAATGAAAAAGATGTAGAAGATTAAGATGACTTGGGACAAGTTGGTTGAAGGCATGTATAAATCTAATTTTGTTATTGTAAAATGTGTATATTTTTTGTATATTATGAGAAGAATAAGAAACAAAATTAAACCAGAAATCAGCGATGAACAATGTGGATTTGTGGAAGGAAAAGGTACAAACAATGCCATTTATATCCTAAGGACATTGTCAGAAATAGCTATAGAAGTAAAGACTGATTTGTACTTATGCTTCATAGACTATACAAAAGCATTTGACTGTGTGAAGCATGAAGAAGTAATCAAACTGTTAGAAAAATTAAACATTGATGGGAAAGATCTACGAATAATAAAGAATATGTATTGGCAGCAAACAGCAGCTATAAGAATTAACAACTGTTTAGGTACATTTCAAAGCTTAAAGAGGGGTGTACGACAAGGATGTGTACTTTCACCTGATTTGTTTTCAATATACAATGAATATATAATGAGATCTTTAATTGATATGCCCGGAATTGTGGTTGGTGGGCACAATATAAACAATTTACGTTGTGCTGATGACACAGTCTTGATAGCAACAAGTCAGAAAGAATTACAGGAAATGATAGACATTGTGGTGTTAGAAAGTGGAAGAATGGGCCTCAGTTTGAATAATGGGAAGACAGAAGTAATGGTGGTATCAAAGAAACAAATTATTCCTAAATGTGTAATAAAAGTCAATGGTGTTATTTTAGGACAAGTAAAGAAATTTAAGTATCTGGGCACATGGATAACTTCAGATGGAAGATGCATAACTGAGATAAGAAACAGAATAGGACAGGCAAAAACTGCATTTTATAAAATGAAAAACATCTTGTGCAATATATCTTTGTCATTGAGAGTTAGAAAAAGAATTCTTGCTTGCTACATACATCCAGTTTTAACATATGGATGTAAATCCTGGACAATCGGTAGGCGGGCCAAACAATTTTTAGAGGCCTCAGAGATGTGGTTTTACAGAAGAATGCTTAGAATACCTTGGACAGCCAAAAAGAGCAACCAAGAGGTTTTGAAAGAGGCGGGAGCCCAAAGACAACTTATCACAGACATCAGAAGGAGACAGTCATCATTTTTCGGCCATGTTATGAGAAAGGGAAAATAGAATATGTTGTGACCACTGGAAAGTTCTATGGAAGGAGGGATAGAGGAAGACAATGAGAGAAGATGCTTGACAGTCTTGTTGCATGGCATGGAGGTGTGTCGGCACACGAACTGATACATGCTGCAGGAGATCGCAGATTATGGAGAGGCATGATCGCCCACGCCAGTCAGCAAGGCACCTAATGATGATGATGAAAATTTGTATAGAATAGTAATGTAAAAATATAATGTTTTTATTGTATAATTTGTATATAATAATAACGTAAAAATAAAATTTTATTGTATAATTTGTACATACTAGGTTAGGTTAATTGCGTTATCCTTTACAGGATGTTGCAGAACAAACCCCAGCAGCCCCTGGCTGTTGTGTGGTTTCTCTAGGCAAATTTATGTCCAGTAGTTTGTTGTATATAATAGCGACATAAAAATATAATGTTGTTATTGTGAACACATTTATTCACATCTAGACCTGACATTCTGAAGAACGAGATGAAGGTGTTCTTTGTGAAGTACAACGACCCCATTTATGTGAAGCTGGAAAAATTGGACATCATGATCAGGTTGACCAACCAGGGCAACATTGCTCAAGTTCTAGCTGAACTCAAAGAGTGAGTACATCACTACCGGTATCTCGGGAAAGCAGTTTTGATCCTGTTTTTAACCAGAAATTGTTTTTTTTTTTTTGGTTTGTTAATGTGTGACATTACAAAATTATAAACACATCATCATCAAACTATCACAGTATTAGTGATTAGAAGGGATTATCATCACCGCCCTCTGGGCTGATCCATAGGTGCTCTGATCTCCTCCTTAAAAGCTCCACAAGTGTAAAACGGCTGTTGAAACCTGTTCTGTGTTGGTTATAGACAGAAACGGAGTCATGTACTTAAGCATGCTTCTCTGTACGGTAAGTGCAATGCACGGCATTGATAACATCACTTCTGTCCAGTACTAGACAGCCATAGCAACCACAGCAAGATAGTCTACACGCTCCTTTCCTTGAACACCCGCATGACCTGGCACAAAAATGAAGGTTAGGGCAGCTATCACAGTATGACTAGATGAATGAATGAACGGATAATGAATTAACTTCACTGCATTCTGGATATTCCTACACATGTTCCCTCTCCTTCTTCAGTAGCTAATGAAGAGTTACCATGCCAGTAGTACCGTTTGTAACCGGATTAAAAATTGATTTGATTTGATTCAAGAACCGACATCACAGCACTCGGGGCATTCCCATAAGCGCTCCGTCCCCATCTTCAGCAGCCAGCAAAGAGTTCCGAAACTAATGGTGCCAGTAGCTTTCTGATTAAACGTCCGTCTTGCCTTTCCTCTGAGCCTTGAGCTTCTGCCAGAACCTCTCGTCACCCCCAACTGCATCAATCTCACCAGACTGTGGTGATCCATCTGCTCCTCCGCATTGTACACGCTCTCGCACAAGGCACTAACCATGTCTGCCCTATCATGTATCAGTATTCCACCAAGTTGTGCAGAGCCAGCCAGTCTGTCCGGCTGTTCATTTCCCAACACACTGGCGTAACCAGGTGAAAAAATCCAGACAATACTCCTCACTCGTGTCCTCCGCAGTGAAGCATGCCACTCTGCACAAAGCATACCTGTTCTGATCTTCCTCAGCATGCTTTCTAAGTCAGTTACAATCACGGTGTGTGTGTGTGCCTTGTTCTCTAGCCAGCGGAAAGCTGCAGTGACCGCCTCCACCTTCATTCTTAAGCTGGATGTTGTGGTATCATATGCTAGGCTCTCCTGCACCAAACGTCGACCATTAACTTTTGCGTGCAATAACCGGATTAAAAGTCCTGTCTTTCCCCCTCAGTGTGGAATACTGTCTATTAGACATCATCCAGTATGAATTATGTTATACTTTTTGATACATAGTTGTCCCTGGCACTCTGAACAATTTTCATAGCGGCCTGCCTTCCTAAACATACGACTGACCCTGGTGTATGTTGAGGGTAGTATGTTGCCTCTTGGTCTGGTCCTTGTTCTTCCATCTGTACATCAATGCTTGGGTGACTGCCCATATCTGTGCATTTGTTAATTTACTAATTTCAGTTATGAGTAGTGAGTGCACAGACACCCATCCTTAGCCTGATGGCCAAAGAGCACAGTATCTTTCTCTCTGTGGATGCATATTATACATGTATGAAATAATTGTTTTCTAAAGAAACATATAAAATAATAAAGCAATAAAAGGTTTAAAAAAATAGATATAAATAATCATTCAGAAAATATAAATTCAAAAACGAATTTTACAAATATTATGTTTTGGCAGTAGCATTTAATTAAGAAAGTAAAAAAAAAAAATTTGTAATCTGTCAAATTTACCTGTATTTCAAATTCACTGTTTTCATTTTCACTTTAAATTATTTAACAAATTGCATTCTCATATATCATGTACACCTTATGTCTGTGTACATCGTAGCTGACATTTTGCAGCACCCCATGTAGCGGTATAGTAACACATTGGGGTAGCAAAGGTGTCACCAACAGTAATGTCAGACTTGTCACTGAAGTTCTTAGTCGAAAAATCACACACTTTTTTATGATTCTGTCATTTATTATTATTGTTTTTCATTTCTTTGACCACATCACCTATCTTGTGCCGTTGGTCTATAAACATATAGGTCTAGCCCTATATGCCCAATACGCCTAAAGGCGTGGAAAAGGGACCTTTACTTTACTTTTACTTTTCATTTCTATAAATAATATTTCAATATCATAATGTAGTCATTTCAGAGTAGTTGATGTTTTTGTATTTTGTTTCTTGTCTTTCTGCTGATAAAGGCTATCCACAAAAACGTCCTTTTGTGTTTTTCTAATCCTTTTCACTTGTTGGTGAATTTTACTTGAGGTGTACAGATTCTTTCATGTTTGCTATAATCTCTATTCTCTTGCTGCCAGATACGCCACTGAAGTTGATGTGGACTTTGTGCGCAAGTCGGTGCGCGCCATTGGCCGCTGTGCCATCAAAGTAGAGCAGGCAGCAGAGCGCTGCGTGAGCACCTTGCTTGATCTCATTCAGACCAAGGTCAACTACGTGGTTCAGGAGGCTATCGTAGTAATAAAGGTAAGGCATTCCTGGATATTTTTACTGTGGACAACAACACATAGGGTTATTGTTTGTCTGGTGGGCTGCCTACACATGGAACCATGATGCAGTATTTATCATTCTGTGGGCCGTCAACACATTGAACCATTTGACAGTTATCATTCTCAGGGCTGCCAAAATATTGAGCCATGGTGCAGGTATTGTTCTGTTGGCTTTGAACGTATATAGTCATGGTGCTGTTATTGTTTTGTTGGCTGTGAACAATGGCTAAATGGTGCAGTTATTGTTCTGCTGGCTGTGATCATGCAGAGTTATGGTGCAGTTATTGTTCTGCTGGCTGTGATCATGCAGAGTTATGGTGCAGTTATTGTTCTGCTGGCTGTGATCATGCAGAGTTATGGTGCAGGTATTGTTCTGTTGGCTGTGATCATGCAGAGTTATGGTGCAGTTATTGTTCTGCTGGCTGTGATCATGCAGAGTTATGGTGCAGGTATTGTTCTGCGGGCTGTGATCATGCAGAGTTATGGTGCAGTTATTGTTCTGTTGGCTTTGAACGTATATAGTCATGGTGCTGTTATTGTTTTGTTGGCTGTGAACAATGGCTTAATGGTGCAGTTATTGTTCTGTTGGCTGTGATCATGCAGAGTTATGGTGCAGGTATAGTTCTGTTGGCTGTGATCATGCAGAGTTATGGTGCAGTTATTGTTCTGCTGGCTGTGATCATGCAGAGTTATGGTGCAGTTATTGTTCTGTTGGCTGTGATCATGCAGAGTTATGGTGCAGTTATTGTTCTGCGGGCTGTTTAACATGCAGAGTTATGGTGCAGTTATTGTTCTGCGGGCTGTGATCATGCAGAGTTATGGTGCAGTTATTGTTCTGTGTTTAACTGCAGAGTTATGGCTGTTCTGATCAACATGCAGAGTTATGGTGCAGTTATTGTTCTGTTGGCTGTGATCATGCTTATGTGCAGTTATTGTTCATGCAGAGTTATGGTGCAGTTATTGTTCTGCTGGGTGATCTGTGATCATGCAGAGTTATGGTGCAGTTATTGTTATTGTTCTGTTGGCTGTGATCATGCAGAGTTATGGTGCAGTTATTGTTCTGCGGCTGTGATCATGCAGAGTTATGGTGCAGTTATTGTTCTGCGGGCTGTGATCATGCAGAGTTATGGTGCAGTTATTGTTCTGTTGGCTGTGATCATGCAGAGTTATGGTGCAGTTATGTTCTGTGCTGTGATCATGCAGAGTTATGGTGCAGTTATTGTTCTGTTGGCTGTGATCATGCAGAGTTATGGTGCAGTTATTGTTCTGTTGGCTGTGATCATGCAGAGTTATGGTGCAGTTATTGTTCTGCAGGGCTGTGGCTGTGATCATGCAGAGTTATGGTGCAGTTATTGTTCTGTGATCATGCAGAGCTGGTGCATATTGTTCTGCATGTGATCATGCAGAGTTATGGTGCAGTTATTGTTCTGCGGGCTGTGATCATGCAGAGTTATGGTGCAGGTATTGTTCTGTTGGCTGTGATCATGCAGAGTTATGGTGCAGGTATTGTTCTGCTGGCTGTGATCATGCAGAGTTATGGTGCAGTTATTGTTCTGCTGGCTGTGATCATGCAGAGTTATGGTGCAGTTATTGTTCTGCTGGCTGTGATCATGCAGAGTTATGGTGCAGTTATTGTTCTGTGATCATGGCTGTGATCATGCAGAGTTATGGTGCAGGTTATTTGGTTCTGCGGCTGTTCTGATCATGCAGAGTTATGGTGCAGGTATTGTTCTGCTGGCTGTGATCATGCAGAGTTATGGTGCAGTTATTGTTCTGTGGCTGTGATGCAGAGTTATTGCAGTTATTGTTCTGTTGGCTGTGATCATGCAGAGTTATGGTGCAGATTGTTCTGGGCTGTGATCATGCAGAGTTATGGTGTTATGTTCTGCGGGCTGTGATCATGCAGAGTTATGGTGCAGGTATTGTTCTGTTGGCTGTGATCATGCAGAGTGCAGGTATGTTCTGTTGGCTGTGATCATGCAGAGTTATGGTGCAGGTATTGTTCTGCTGTGATCATGCAGAGTTATGGTGCATCTGCGGGCTGTTTATGCAGAGTTATGGTGCAGTTATTGTTCTGCTGGCTGTGATCATGCAGAGTTATGGTGCAGATTGTTATGGGCTGTGATCATGCAGAGTTATGGTGCAGTTATTGTTCTGCGGCTGTTTAACATGCAGAGTTATGGTGCAGTGTTCAGGCTGTGAACATGCAGTTATGGTGCAGGTATTGTTCTGCGGGCTGTGATCATGCAGAGTTATGGTGCAGGTATTGTTCTGCGGGCTGTGAACATGCAGAGTTATGGTATTGTTCAGTGTATTGTTCTGCTGGTTCTGCTGTGTGAACATGCAGAGTTATGGTGCAGTTATTGTTCTGCGGGCTGTGATCATGCAGAGTTATGGTGCAGGTATTGTTCTGCTGGCTGTGATCATGCTATTGTGATGGCTGTGAACATGCAGAGTTATGGTGCAGTTATTGTTCTGTTGGCTGTGATCATGCAGAGTTATGGTGCAGTTATTGTTCTGCTGGCTGTGATCATGCAGAGTTATGGTGCAGGTATTGTTCTGCGGGCTGTTTAACATGCAGAGTTATGGTGCAGGTATTGTTCTGCGGGCTGTGATCATGCAGAGTTATGGTGCAGTTATTGTTCTGTTGGCTGTGATCATGCAGAGTTATGGTGCAGTTATTGTTCTGCAGGCTGTGATCATGCAGAGTTATGGTGCAGTTATTGTTCTGCGGGCTGTGAACATGCAGAGTTATGGTGCAGTTATTGTTCTGTTGGCTGTGATCATGCAGAGTTGCATGTTCTGTGCAGTTATTGTTCTGTTGTGATCATGCTGTTGTTCTGCAACATGCAGAGTTATGGTGCAGTTATTGTTCTGTTGGCTGTGATCATGCAGAGTTATGGTGCAGTTATTGTTCTGCAGGCTGTGAACATGCAGAGTTATGGTGCAGTTATTGTTCTGCGGGCTGTGAACATGCAGAGTTATGGTGCAGTTATTGTTCTGTTGGCTGTGATCATGCAGAGTTATGGTGCAGTTATTGTTCTGTTGGCTGTTTAACATGCAGAGTTATGGTGCAGTTATTGTTCTGCAGGCTGTGAACATGCAGAGTTATGGTGCAGTTATTGTTCTGTTGGCTGTGATCATGCAGAGTTATGGTGCAGGTATTGTTCTGTTGGCTGTGATCATGCAGAGTTATGGTGCAGTTATTGTTCTGCTGGCTGTGATCATGCAGAGTTATGGTGCAGTTATTGTTCTGCTGGCTGTGATCATGCAGAGTTATGGTGCAGTTATTGTTCTGCGGGCTGCTTAACATGCAGAGTTATGGTGCAGTTATTGTTCTGCGAGCTGCCAACATATTGAGCCATGGTGAAGATACTTTTCTGAAGGGTGCTAACACGTAAAACCAAGTTGCAATTATCGTTCTGTGGGCTGCCAAAAAATGGAACCATGGGGCTACCAATACATGAAACCATGGGACATCATTATGTGGGCTGCCACTACATTCAGCAGTGGTGGATTTTCGGCTAGAAATGAGGGCTTCCAACATATGGAGCCATGTGCATTTATTCCAATTTAGGATTGAGGTTGCTTATCTTTACAGCAGACACTAGAATTTTGAATGACACAGTGGGTTGCCAACATTGTAGTCCACTATTGACTCCTCTGTTGGCCTTTTTATTTAAAAAAAAAATTTTTAACCTTTAAAAAAACTTCTATAAATAATCAAATTGATAGAGTGGATGTTACTTCATATTACTTTAAAATAAAAATTATTGTGATCAACAGGATATATTCCGCAAGTACCCAAACAAATACGAGAGCATCATTGCCACTCTTTGCGAAAACTTGGACACTCTGGATGAGCCTGAAGCCAGGTGAATGTTCTTGTTTTACATATTGTAAAATTGTGTATTTATCTGGTCCTGTGCCACATAATTCTGTCATATTCTGAACATGTGACAGTCTGCCAATGGTACCACTGGTCACCGGTGTATGATTGATTATAAATAAGCTAGGCTGCAAACTAGCAGTTTTTGTTGTTTGTGTTCTATATGTATAAATATTTCAGAATCCGGTATACCCCTTAGCTGTTGCTTCTTTTCATTTTCCCTGGAGGAGGCAGGAGGAGCATGGTCCCATTGTTTTCAGGTTCGGCTGTGACACCTTTTTTCCCCACCCAGGCACCTCTGACCTCCATGTGCTTTTCTGTAAGGATGAGCTTCTTAAATCTGTGGTCAGCTAAGACTTATCCATTGTACAGTGGAGTTCCTTCTCCTAGATGGATTGCTGTAGCCCAGCTGTGGAGCTCCATCTGCTCAGTGAACATCTGTTTCATGACAGAAGAAGGTTTTACAAAGGTGGGCACCGTCTACCCCATGCTTCAACACCCAACCTGGAGGATCAGATAGTCTTTGTTCGTTCGTTTTCTACGCTTCGACCTGTGCTGCTTGGGAGGCCCTGCTTATATCTACACTATCCCTTACAAAAGCTGTCAGGGTTGTTATTTTAAGCTCCACCCACCCACCCCCGGGGCATAGTGGAGAAACTTTCAGGGTAGAACCCCTAAGCTAAAAAATATGTAGTCTCTTATGTAATTTTATCAGTCTTTTGTTTTTTCTGAAGGCAGTAATTTTTTTTCAAATGTTGATGAAGGCTCTGGCCAAACGGTTAGAGCGCTGGACTCTCAAACGGGAGTCCCGGGTTCGAATCCTTGGTAAGGCTGGGGATTTTTTTCTGTTTGAGCCAAAATAAAATCCTCACCTGCACAGTCGTGGTGACAGCACTAGCCATGCGGCCGTAAATCCTCAGGCTCAAAGACCCACCTGCCTACACCAAAAAAGTGGTATCACAAAGGCAGTTTTGGCAGATGAAGATTTTCTAGCTGCACAGTTCATGTTTTTCTTTCAGATTTGTGTTTTATTGGGAAGCTGACTAGTTCTGCTTTTTGTTAAGGTGGAATTTTGTTCATGATTTGTGTGTGCTGTGTCATTGAAAAGCTAAAAGCTCACAAAAGCATGTGAATTATTTCCAGGGCCTCCATGATCTGGATCATTGGGGAATATGCTGAGAGGATTGACAATGCTGATGAGCTGTTGGAGAGTTTCCTCGAGGGCTTCCAGGATGAAAACACTCAGGTATGTTGTGTACTTCTTCTTCTTCTTTCGTTCGCCTGAAATAAGTTGTCTATATCAGCAGTTTTGTCTCTTGTATAAATTTCACTGTCGTTGTTGGTTCATTCAGTGGTTCATAGAGTTTACGTTCCACTGTTGTTCTTTCTGGCCAAAAGGTTTGCCTTAATGAGTCAAAATCGGTGCAGTTCTAGAGTACATGCTCTGCTGTCTGGGGCACATTTCCACAGGTGCACATGGCTGATACACCTACCTATCTTGAATTTTGTGTATTGTGGTTACGTAATCGGTTGTGCCCTGTTCTGACGCGGAGGATAATGACTTGTTCTGGTCTGTCCATAATAAAATAGTCGTCTTGTGCTGGGGCTGGTGGTTTCCTGATCGATTTAATGATTTTTTTCTTTTGGTGGTATGTGACTGGTACATCCTGCTGCTCTTTTGTCACACCTTCCCCTGCCAGTTGATCAGCTTTCTCATTTCCAGGCACTCCACAATGAGACGGTATCCACTGCATTACGACTCTTCGCTGAAGGCTGAGTTGTGTACTGTTCCACTATCCTTGGTCTATGATGTTGTAAAAAAAAACAAATTGTGTAATATTTCAGGCGAGTCGCTGTAGTGTCTAGACGATCGCCTGCGGATCGAAAGGTCATGTGTTTGGGTCCTGACGGAGCCTATCTTTATTTTTTAAATGACTTTGGTTTTCAGTTCGACCTAGCCTTAAGTGGGTACCATGTGCAATTCTGGAAAATATTGGCGGCCAGCAGAGTGTTGACCACATTATCCACCAAGTGCCGATAGGTCTATAAAATATAGGTCTAGTCCTATATGCCCAATATGCCTCAGTCGTTGAAAAGAGTACTTATAATATTTCAGTTCAAAAGCTCACATTTTTCTTCACTGATTCAGTAAGAGTTCATGATTCATAGCGGTAAATTGCCACAGGAAGGATGCATGATCTCAGAGTTGTTACTTTAACTTGTTTGCAGAGGCAGTAGGAAACCAACAGGAGCAAATCCCAGAAACCCTGTTCAACCGTTAATTAATTTAAAAAACATAAAAACTGCTATTACTACCGATATTTACCGCTTCTGTGGGGAGGGGGTCTTTGAACCTGAAGATTTTAGTGCTTTTGCCACGGACTGTGCGGGATATGATTTTATTTTAGCCCCCAGCCGGAATAATTCCCCAACCTTACATAGGATTCCAACCCAGGTCTACCTCATAAGAACTCTGCATTCTTAACCGTTTGGCCAGCCGCTTCTTAACCGAGCTGTATAACACAGTTCAAATGGGTCACCCTGCTCACTCTCCCTCTCGTTGTACCCCACAAGGACATCACACAAGCAATAACACCCGGTGACACAAAGTGCCACCATGCGGATGAGGTTCACCCGGGGAGAGGTCCCAGATACCCCTTGCAGCCGTTGTGGCCATATTTATGGCCCGGCTATCTTCAGGGCCCCCAGCAAAAGCCAGGGTGGAGCTTCAAATAATGAAACATTGCATCCCACAGGAATAACCCTGCTGTGACCTACTGTCTTATATAGGTGACTCGATAAAGTTTCTGCCATATAGAGAGTTCAAAGACAATGTGAGACACAGATAAATTTCATGTTAACATGTCAAATTCAAATCACTTTCAGGTTCAGCTGCAGCTCCTGACAGCTATTGTGAAGTTGTTCTTGAAAAGACCTACAGACACCCAGGAGTTGGTCCAGCAGGTTCTGTCTCTGGCCACTCAGGTAATCTGCAGCTAAATGTTAGAGATTATTTGATGTAGTCAGCAGTAATCATATAGTGCAAAAGTGCTTTAGGGAAGTAACATGTGGTATATTCATATAGATTAGGACACAGTATCCCGTGAGATGGGGTGACCTACATCCTTAATCATTTCCATGTTGTTGTTGTTGTTTTTTTTTTTGGTTCTAAAATGAAATACCTTTGTTCTGATGTGCCAGAGGTGTGAAAAGGGTCCTCTACTTTACTTTTTAATTAAGCCAGCACATTATTTGACAAATTTTTTACTGCTTCTTTGGTGAGCAGATCATTGTCATGCTATATCTGCAACCTTTTTGCCTGGAAGTCTGTCCTAATTTTCAGGTCAGTATGGGAGCCCTAGGGAGTCACCGTGGCAGAGCTGCTAGGCGCTCGCCGCGGATCGGAAGGTCGTGGATTAGCTCCCTGTCAGAGCCGGACTTTTTTTTAAAACTGACCTTGGCTCCCAGGTCGACCCAGCCTTGAGTGGGTACCGGGTGCAGTCCCGGGAAGTAAAGGAGGCCATCGTGATGCTGACCACATCACCCATCTTGTGCCGATTGGTCTGCAAAATATTTCCCTATATGCCCTATTACCTAGAAGCGTGGGAAAGGGTCCTTTACTTTTTTATTTTTTTATTATTAACTTATGGGAGGCCCCTGTCTGCATAACTCAGTACCACCAGGTCACATTATAACCCTTTTTGGGACTTGAAATTTCGCATAGCATTATCATTGTCTGTATCATGTGTCTTTCCACAAACATCTTTTGTCTGTATCCGAAGATTGACCACTGATCATCTTCTTTTGCTCTACTCTGTCTATCCTCTTCTTCACCGACTGTCAACTCTGTCGCAAAGTTCTGAGTGTTCGTCCACGTCTTGACTTTCTTTTCCGGAACCTGAGTTTAGCGTGCACATCATTTTCACAGCTCTGGCTGATTTTCATGCAGACTCTTGGTTCCTTGCCACTCAAGCAGATGTACGGCTTCAAGTATGCCCCAGTTAGTCAACTCCTACAACAAGCTTGTTGAGGAAGCACTGGAGCTGTTCTTGTTTACCCCACAATAGGCCCCCTAAAACCCACACAAGGTCCATGCACAAACAATTATTTACATTCATATTCAGTTCACAAGGAATTTTTTTTTAAACTGATATGTGTGAATGTTTCTATCCTATACCAGGACAGTGATAATCCAGATCTGCGTGACCGTGGCTACATCTACTGGCGTCTGCTGTCTACTGATCCAGCGGCAGCCAAAGAAGTGGTTCTGGCTGAGAAGCCACTCATCTCTGAAGAAACTGACCTGATTGAGCCCACCCTGCTGGATGAGCTGATCTGTCACATTGCCAGTTTGGCATCTGTATACCATAAACCACCCAATGCATTTGTGGAAGGACGAGGGGTTATGAGGCGATCATTGCCACGCAACCAGTCGTAAGTGGGAATGTTTAGATTGCTTTATTCTCTTTTTATTTAACCATAATTTTGACAGTTGTTGTCTATGTTGGGTTTTTCTATCGGGAGCACAAATAAATATCCTAACCAGCACAGATCGTGGTGACTGCACTAGCCAGGAACCTTAAACTCTCCTCCTTAAAAGGTGGCCCTGTTGGCTGTAAAGACAGACGTTCAAAAATTTGTACACAGTATGTATAGGTGGTTAAAGTTAAGCAAGTTAAAGTGGAAGTTGTGAGATCATCTCGTGGCAGCTTATGGATGTGAGTGGTGGACTGTCACTCAGTCTGTGAAGAAACCAATCAGAGCCAGAGTTTTTGGTGAACTGAAATGCTACAGAAAGTTTCTTAGAATACCCTGGACCAAGAAAAAGGAAAAAATGTCGAGATCCTGCATGACCTGAACATCAAGGAGAACTGGGTCATAAACAGCATCCTTTTCCCAAACTGAGGTAATTTGGACGCTATGGTGGTCTGACGAGAACGGTGATGGAGGGTAAAGTTTCTGGAAAATGAGACAGAGGCCACGCTCTGCGTGATTGGATACATGGCATTAAAGAGAGCTGGAGAGTTGTCTAGACACAGACAGACTTTCAGAGAGATATCATTCTGTAAAGGACATGCTGATTGATGATAAACAATGAAAGGTGGTTCTAAACATCAGAAGCAGGCAGTTGTCATAATTTAGTCATGTTATGAGAAAAAGAAAACTGGAACCTGTTGTGACCACTGGAATGATCTGTGGGAAAAAGAGACAGAGGAAGACAACACAAGACAATTCTTGACAGCCTTCTGTCATGGCATGGAGGGGTGTCAGCACACAGACTGATACTTCCCATTGAAGATTGCAGATTGTTGAGAGACATGATCACCAGTGCCAGTCAGCACAGCACTTGATGATGATAGCTCATTCTATTTATCAAGTGTTTTCTGAAAGGTTAAGTATAATATTGATGCATTACTCATTTAGTGCCAACCGGTCTTCAGAAAAAGACTTGCTTTAGCAATGCATAAACCAAACTGCATGAAGAACCTATGGTGCAGCACCTGCAAGAGGTATCAGTAAAAACTGGTGAGATCGTGGATCATTTCCCTGGCAACTTTATGGATGTGTCATGGACTCATACTCAATCATTGAAGAAACAAATTTAAGCTTTTGACTTGAAATGCTACAGAAAAATTTCATGGACCTAGAAGAAGAAAAACATTGACATCTTGCATGATCTAAGCATCAAGGAGAACTGGCATATAAACAGCATTCTATTCCGGAAGCTGAGGTATTTTACCATTTTAAATGTCATTTTGGCCTGGAAAGAACATTGGCGGAGGGTACAGTTTCCGGAAGATGAGGTGGACCTCTGCGAACAAGGATGAAAGACATTTAAGACGCATTGGCTATGAAATCACATAGACATCCTGTTCGGAGAATGGTAGAGTCCCTAAGGGCATCCTCTGTGGGGGAATTAAGATGGAGGGAAGATGTCAAGGTCTGTTTGCACTCCAACTTCAAGATTTGTAAATGAGATTTGAGATTCTGAACAACGGATCAACATCATGGCACACGAGTGTAACCCATAAGTGCTCCGTTCTTCTTCTAACTCAAGTCTGAGTCCAAAGCAGCTTAGCACAGTGCACAGGCTCTGTAGCACCGGCGAGGATCCTGAAATACTTTGGGTCGATTTTTAACACCAAATTTTGCCCAGGCAGTGCAGTTAGGCTACTCTTTTCGATTTCCAACTGCCAATGATTTTTTTTTACATGAGCAACAATGCATATGGGCGTCCGATCTCACTACCCAGAGACCGGGGGAATTACTAGAAGTCCAAGTTAACGTGAACAAATCACAGCCCTTACAGCACTCGAGGCAGACACCATGCCTCGAAACCATGCAGCCCCCTATTTGTAAATGAATGACAGGTATTGTGTGGATTCGTATGGATTCACAGGATGAGATGGATCAGACTGCGTGGAGGGGGGATATTGTGAAGGGAATGGGGACAAAGGAAGAAAGGATTGCAGACAGGTTAAGAATTGAGTGTCTGAGAAGAAACATGTCAGATACATGTGATAGCAACAGTGATCTCCTGAAAGCTCATGAACTTGTTGTGGGAGCTTCTTCTCAACACAAGCAGCTGGTCTTGCTAGTCAGGCTCACCGTTGCCGCGGGCTGTGGTTCCCTCACTTTCCTGTGGCACCCTGGAATAAATAAATAGGTGGGGGACCCTTGAGGCTGTAGAAATATTATATATATAATAAACAAACAGATGATGTATTGATCAGCACTCAACAACAAAAGTTGACAGAAAGAAACATTAGACAACATCAAAATCAAAAGCTGTAATTACCTTTGAAGGAAATCTAACCTGTCACCTCTAAACAGTGTGTGCTCCTCCCTATGGAAACAAGTGTACAAGTGATGGAACACTGCTAGCTAGAAAGATTAACCCAGCATGCCTCATGGTGTGTAGAGTCCTTTGCCTGGGCTTAGTTACCTAATTGTGATCGATCCATCGGTTTGTCCCCTCCAGGCTGCTATCTAAAGGTTTCCCATACTGTCCTAAGATTTAAAAACCTCAGTCTGGCAGGCAGACCAGCAAAGCAGATCCCAGATACCCTGTTCAACCTTAAATGATTAGGGCACCCATAACGACTCCACAAACCAGGTGTGACCTGCAGTCTTGTTAGGGTAAGTAAGTAAAAGTAAAGGACCCTTTTCCACGCCTTTATAGGCATATTGGGTATATAGACCTATATTTTATAGACCTATCGGCACTTGGTGGTTGATGTGATCAACACCTTTACTTCCCAGGACTACACCTGGTACCCACTCAAGGCTGGGTCGACCTGGGAGCCAAGGTCATTTTTGAAAAAAAGTCCCGCTCCATCAACACCTGAACCCATGACCTTGTGATGCGCAGGCGAGCGTCTAGCCGCTACAACACGGCGACCCCCTGTGGTAAGGACCTGACATAATTGTGCTAACTGTCAACTTGATATTTCAGTGGTGAGGCCGGAGTTAGTGACCTTACTGCCGATGTCAGCCCACCCCCTGCTCAGCAGTCAACAGTGATTCCTGGTGTGGACTCCCTCATCGGGGACCTGCTGGACATGGACATCGGAGGCCCCACTCCCTACCAGCAGCAGCAGATGATGGGCCAGATTCCTCCCTCTGTGCCAGCTTCCACCGGGGCTGTGGACCTGTTGGGTGAAGGCCTGGACAATTTAGTACGTAACTCTTTAGTTGTCTTACTCGTATTGGTCCTGGGGGGCAACAAAATTTATAGAACCGTTGCCCCGCATTAACACAATTTTGTAAACTCATCTGTGTGGTTTTGAAATAATAGTATGAGAGTCACACCATGGAAGAGATTAGAGCCTCACCTCCTGATACTGCCAAAGACAGAGGGCACACTGTAGCCAAGATTCATAACTTTTTTGGTTTCCTTAACTGTACAGTGCATTTGTTTCTATTTTCCTGGACACAAATGTACTGATATTTGACTGCAGTAAGAAAAGAAGAGCTGCCCGCCCAGTGGTTGAGAGTGCTGGGCTGTCATTCATCAGACCTAGGTCAGATTCGCTGTATGACAGTGGACCAAAAAAAACCCTAACCTGCAAAGTCCAAGGTGGCTGCGCTAAGCACAAGCAGGGGAAAAACCTACATCCTCAGACTATATCCCTCTCCCCCCCCCCCCCCCTTTTTTTTTTGTTTCTCTTTCCCCATAGTCATGCATTAAAAACCTGTACCAACAGGGTGTCGTGGGTTCACTCCCTGGCGGAGCCGGACTTTTTTTTAAAATGACCTTGACTCCAAAGTCGACCCGGCCTTGGGTGAGTTTTGGCTGTAGTCCCGGGAAGTAGGGGCGGCTGGCGTGATGCTGACCACATCACCCATCTTGTGCCGATTGGTCTAAAAAAATATAGGTGTAGCCCTATATGCCCTATACGCTTAAAGGCGTGGAAAAGGGATCTTTACTTTGCTTACCAACAGGCGGTGAAGAATGTAATGAATGAAAGGTTAGTTAGTTAGTTGGGTTATCCTCATTGCACTCCGGACATGTCCATAGGTGCTCAGATCCTCCCCTCAGTATGAACCCCAACGTCCGATGGCTAATAGTACCAGTTCTATGTTGATTAACAAGTCTTCTGGCGTAACTGGTGTGCGTCTCGTTTTTTGCTGTGCCGATCTTAATTCCCAAGTCTGCCATTCTGGCGAGTGATGTGGATTCACTGCCACCAAAGTCGTCTATCCTTCCCATTTCTCTGAGGGCATTGATAATATCAGCATGATCCATAGGCTGACCGTCGGTAGTGATAGCGGATCCAGCCAACCTGTCAGCTCTTTCATTTCCATCGACGCCTGCGTGTCCCGGAACAAAAATAAAGGTGACTCCACGGACAGTGGACTTCTGTAATGATTCAAGCCATTGTCTTCGCACTGAACCTGCCTGAACCCTCCGGATCATACTCATTGAATCACTGAGTATACACACGCGGGTGTATTTTTGTGTTTCAAGCCAGGCAAGTGCTTGTGTCACTGCCATCACCTCCATCGTCATGCTGCTGGTTGTCATGGAGAAGGCGCCGTTGGCTTCTTTGACTGTTCTGCCCGCTGAGCGTGTTGTAAATGCCCATGCGCTTCTTCTTTGGCGTATAACGGATCCGTCTGTATAGATTATTGCATCTGCTTCCTCTGAATTTTCACGGATGAGAGCGTTGACCTCTGCATTAACAGCAACAGGATTCTCTTCTCTACATCGCCTGTTGAGTGTGACAATACAGGAAAATGTACAAATAAACGCCTGAGGCACAGGTGTCCATTCTGCACCAGGTATGATGTCGGTTAGGCTGCATATTTGCCTAATAACATCTTCTGCCCGACCTAGCCACGATTTCCCCCTCTTCAGTCTGTCGCCCTTTTCACTAAAAAGCGCTTGATGCAGTGGGTGTTTCTGATCAGCACATATTTTGAGATATGCCCGAGCCCTCCACATCCTGATCCTTTGGTTCATTGTTGGAAAGTCAAGTAGATACCTCATTGCTCCACAGGATGTGTCTCTAGTACATCCCAAAATAATGCGCATGGCTTCATTTTGCACCTTTTCGAGTCGTTCAATTTGGGTAGCACTGACAGTGAGGATGGCCAGAGCGTATTCAATGGGGGAAAGGACCAGACCGTAGAATAGAAGTATTAGTAGTCTTTGCTCAATGTTGGAAGCAGCCATAATCCTCATTGCAGATAGACCTTTGTGTGCTTTTGTTATCACATGGTCAACGTGTTCCCTGAATGACAAGCTGCGATCGAACCTCACCCCGAGAAACGTCATAACGTTGGTTCTGATCAATACATTATCACGCATTTTCACTTCTGGTAAGTCCGACTTGACAATGTGATTGTTCAAAGAGAACCATGACACTGATGCCTTCGAAGGATTGACATAGGCATTGGAACCATCACACCAGGCGGCAATTCGATCGAGTTCTTTGTGCATAGTGCTGGCGATCTCCTGTCTATCACGCCCTCGTCGATAAATCAAAATGTCATCAGCAAATGACAAAGTCCTCCCCTTTCCTTCAACTGCTGCTCAGTGATCATCACCGTATAAACGTTGAATAAGACTGGTGATAGCGGTGATCCCTGTGGCAAGCCTGGACATATCGTTTGCGGTTCTGAGGACCAGCTACCACATCTTAGTACAATCTTTCTCTGGAACAGGACCGCAGCAATCCAGCGGATCAGAATAGGATTAACTTCTAGTCTAAGCAGTAATTGCATTAAATAATCGTATGGTACTTTATTGTAGGCATCTTCTAAGTCCAACACTGCCGCACATGTCTCTTCTTTAATCTGAAATCCCTCGTACACATCGTAGGCGAAAACTGCAGCATTGAACCATGTCTCTTTATTTAACCTGTACCCTCCAAGTGTTGGTGGGAACTTATCATGTAGTTCCAAGTAGGTGGTCAATCTTTGTGCGACAATTTTTTCCAAAAGTTTGCCAACAGTATTCTGCATCGAGATGATTCTGTAGCCGCAGATCTTCGAGTGGTCTTTATTAGGCTTTGGTAGTGGGAACAAATAACTATGGAGCCATTCCTCTTGTATCTGGCCACTCTGGATGCTGATATTGAATTCCTTTGCCACGCTTTTCAAATCAGCATTCGACATCATCAGCATGTCGTTGTATCGGATGCCGTCAGGGCCTGGAGCAGTGCTGCGCGATTTCTTGAGGCAAGTTCTTAAGGTATCTGCAGTGATTGTGAGATCAGTGCCTAGCACAGTGTTCTCGCACAGCATCGACAGTTTCATCTTAACCCCTATTCTTGTAGCTTCGTCTTTTTGGTCAGTTTGCTCCAAGTAGCGCCCCAGAAGGGTTTTTCCTTTATCAGCATCAGTTCTCTGCCATATCAGGTCTGTACCCTGAAAATCAGGGATACCCCTTGGTCGTGTGGCGCCGTGCATGCTCCGTTGAAGGCGCCAGAATGTCACAAGAGATCCCTCGGAGCAAACGCTCTTGCAGAATTCGTTCCATTTCGCTGTCTTAGCTTCCTTCGCAATTAATTTGAAAGCCACTGTCTGCTTGTTGACCTCATCTTTCAGACTGATCAGGCGTTCAGAAAGTGACGGATCAATTTTCCTTGCCTTTTGCCATGCCTTGACAGCTTTCCTTTTTTCTAGCCACGCCATGTTGACTACTTCATTCCACCATGGTGGCTGCGCCCATCTCTCCCGCCGTCTGCGATCTGCTCTTGTTTTACGTCGTCGGATTTTGCTAATGGCATCTTGCCCTGTACGGTCATATATAAAAGCAGGCACATTGATTACATGACCTTTGTTGTTGCTCTTCTCTACCAGGACGACGCAAGGAAAGTGATCACTGTCGTGGTATCCCAGTGTGCTCCACCTGCATCCTGGTGCAATGGAGGGAGACACTAGGGCCAGGTCAATTACGCTGTCAGAATCCCCTTGTCGTGTTGCCGTTCGGGTAACCTTTCCGTCGTTCAAGCATACTAGATTGGCAGACACTAGGGCATCCTCCAGGTCTTCTCCCTGTTTATTAGTGATTACATTGCCCCACTGGTGTCCTCTGGCGTTGAAATCTCCGCAGTAAAGGACTTTCTTTTCCTCCGTCTGGAGCAAACTCTGCCATTTCGCTGTATCCACCTTTCCATTGCAGGCGTACACATTGACAATCACAAACTGGGCCGGGCCCATCACTCTGACTGCGTGTACTTGTAGGTCGTCATTATTCCACTTAGACATGTCCACCTCAGACACCGGTATGTGGTCACGAACAAGAATGAGCTGTCCGAGGTGCCGTCTATTGTAGAAGGATTGGAAGCCCGCAATTTTAATGATCTCGTCACCGAGGTGTGTTTCCTGTAGGACAACAATGTCGTTGCTGTAGAGGAGCTTCTCAAAAATGGGTCGGCGTTGACTAAACGAAGCGCAGTTCCAGTAGAGAACATGAACATACTTTAAACTGAGTCTTTCACATTTCAGCCGCTTCCTGCAGGCGCCACCGTGCTTGCCTGTTCGCGTTCTCCTTGTCCGTCTACGGGTTGTTTTAAATTGGTAAATAGTCGCCATCGGACGTCGAATACATCCTGAGGGAAGTCTAAACTCACGTGCATGTACTCCATTGCACGGTTCAGACCCCATTCCGATGAAACTTTCACATTATACGTGAGCGAAAATAGCTAATTTGCGCCATTCGCCTCAACGGACGAAAAAGCGTACCGCCATTGTGGCTGTTTACACCGGAAGTCCCTGAATGAAAGGAAATATAGTGAAGGTCAGCTTGACAAGACAGTGATCTCAGGTAACAGAGGATAGTGTGGGGAAGGAAGAGGAACCAGAGATACGCCAACCTAAAAGCCCGGTTGGTGCTTGTTTATTTCTTTTTCAGGGCGGTATCCTTCGAAGTTAGTGCTTCTGCCTAAGAGGCAAGGAATCAACAGTTTGCCTACAAAAAAGCCAGATTTGGATGAACAACCAGAGCTTGTTGCCAGAGTTTTTCTGGTGAATGTGAAAAAGAAGTATATATTATTTATGTTAGTTAGTTAGTTGCGTATCCTTTACAGAACATTTCAGAACCAACCCCAGCATTTTTTGGCTGTTGTGGGTTTTTCTAGACAAATTTTACATTCAGTAGTTTGATATTATTTATGAAGAGAGGATAATCAGTTTGTGAGAATAAATGTGGTTGCTTTCTACAGCTTGGTGGAGGTGGTGGCGGCATGGATACTCTGGGAGGTCTAAGTGACATATTTGGTAGCTCTGCTCAGACATCATCGTACACTCCACCACAAGAGGTGAGATATGGCTCTTCTTCCTTGTCATACACAAATGTATATTTAGCATTTTTTTTATTACAGCTATGTCCGAGAGGTAGAGTGCTGGAATAAACTGACCACATTGCCTGTTGGCTGATTTTTAAACTTGTTTCACGGCTTGTTTGATTCATGAGTGCAATTTTTATGGAGGTCCCTGGGAATGGAGTTCAGTCTTTGTATGACGCTCTTTGTGAATGGAAAGTGGCTGAACTAAAAGGGATATAACCTGCTGCTGTCCCCCTTTAACCTTTTTATCAAGAACATAAAATCGTTGGTATATGCTAAAGTCATTTAAGTGCAGTTTTGATGATTTTCAACCAAGTGTATTTCCTGGACCGTTATTTGTCACTTTACAATATGTGAAATGCCATGTAAGACTAAAATGAAGTATTTTTGTTCGCACGGCTACACAATTTTTTAACGCGATTTTCTCAGAAGAAGGATTTACGGCATAGGTGAGTTTGATTAGAAGGGAAGAATTACATTGGGCTTGCATACCCATCTTAGCCGTTTAAAAATAAAGTTTGTTTCTTCTTGTTCTACTTCTTCTTCTTCTTCTTCTTCTTCTTCTTCTTCTCCTTCTCCTCCTCCTTTTTCTTCTTCTTCTCGTCCTCCTTCTCCTTCTTCTTTTTTCTTCTTCTCTCTTTGATCACCAGTCACCTCCTGTATAACAGGCCCTTTATCTGCAGACACTGTTCCCTGTCCTCATTGCCCTGGATCCTCCCGGGCCTATGTTGAGCTTATGAGCCACCTCCAAACTCACAGTCACCTATAGTTTTGTGACGAATCAAAGAAAGAGTTGTCCTCATCACTTATGATGGACTAACAGCAACATGATTAGTTGGATTTTGGTGTTAGTTTTTTTTTTTTTGCAGGTTGAGATGGTCAGTTCCTAAATCAAATCTAATGACATGCATATGTTTTTCATTCTTTCATTGTTCTGTTGTACAAGGGGAAGTCAATAAGTAAGTACCATATGGTTATGGGAGGGCAGGAAAATGTAGTTTGTGGTTTCTGAAGGAGTCATTAATTTACAGCAACATCAAACTTCATGTCTCAGTTGGTTAGGTGGAGCTAGGTGTTGCATGCACATTCTCAGCATAAACAAAATGGTGACTGTACTTACCAAGTGTACCCTCAAAGAATAAGTGCTGTTGTGCATTTGTTGGGGGAGGGGGGGAGGGGCTGCATGTAAAGAACATTCATAAGGAAATGATTGCTGTTTATGCTGACAAATGTTTATTCCGTAAAGCGATGCATAGCTGGCCTAAACAAAAATTTTCTCAAGGATACTCTAAAATTGTGGATGAAATCCGATCTTGTTGTCCTGTTGAGATTGCAACAAGCGCATCCTTCATGGCAATGCCAGACCACATACGGTTCGGTTTATTACTCAGGAGATAATTAACCATCTAGAGTGGAAACTTCTGAAACATCGACCTTACAGCCCCGACTTAGCCTCTAGCGATTTCCACTTTTTTGGACCACTGAACACCCAATTTGGCGTGAATGGAGCAGAAGTTGAATGTGAAGTGAAAATGTGGTTGAGCAAACAGAGCATGCAGTTCTATGCAGCAGGTTTGGGAGGACTGATAAAACAATGGGACAAATGCATCAGTGTAGGTGAGAATTATGTTGAAAAATAAAGGGACAGTGTATGTGTAAAAATAAACAGTTTTCAAGTTGTTATCATCTTTAGTGTTTTTTTTTTTTTTTTTTTGAACAACCATTTGTGTCTTACTTATTGACTTCCCCCTATATGTCACACACACAGCTCCTAGTCTATTCCTCCATCCTTCAACCCATTCTGTCCCATGCAATCACTTCGATATCTTGACTCGAATCCAGTTCAGCACCTTTGACCTCTCAGTTTTGTTTTCGGGTTTATTTTGGCCTTTTATTTTCTATTTCAGTGCCTGTTTGGTGATTCTCTTCTCATTTCTTCTCAAGTTGTATCCAATATATCGCCATCTTTCTTGTCTTATATCTGTTGTTACCAGTGGTTGCCCAGACATGTCTTTATTTCTTGACCACTCTTGGACACACCCCATTTTATGTTCAGCATTTCCTCACGCATTTAACTTTCATGATAGGTTACAGCAGTGTTTCCAAAACTTGTCTTAGTCGTGGTGCCCTTTTTTGAATTAAAATTTTTTCACGGCGCCCTAACCTAAGTAAAAGTATGACTATTCATATGGAAGAAATAAAAAAAACTTGTGTATCTTCTGATATTTTGCGGCGCCCCTGTGAAGAAGTCGTGGCTCCGCGGGGCACTGCGGCGCACAGTTTGGGAATCACTGGGTTACAGATTTTCTCTGTTTTCCTTAAGTATGCAAATCTCATTAACTTGTTCTTTACAGATTTTATTGTATTTATTTTCTATCTAGGTATGGTTACCTGCTGCCAAAGGAAAAGGCATGGAGGTGACCGGAACCTTTGCAAGACGGAATAAAAAGATATATATGGAACTTACATTCACAAACAAAGCAATGCAGCCGATGATGAACTTTGCTATCCAATTCAATAAAAACAGGTAGTCTATTGGATTAGTTTATGCAACAGTTACTAAGCTTACTGTAAACAGATAAGACACAACGCAACCAAGGCAATACATCTGGCTCAGGAATGCAAACTTAGCATCCCCACTTCCATATACTTAACGCTTTCACCCAGAGAATGCTAAAAATATTGGTCAGGAACATATGGGAATTCCTGGAAAAACATTCTTTAAAAAACATATTTCACAGATCACGAATAAATGTGTTTTATTTTTATACAGTAGCCATGTGCAGGTGTGGACTGGCACATGAGACAACAGATCACATCCTGCAAGACTGTCCCATATACAACATTTCCAGGCAAAACTTCTGGCGAAGAGCGACACCGGTGGAAGCCTAACTTTATGGGCCGCTAAGTGAGACAGTGAAGTTCATACTAGAGACAGCATTGCAGATATAGATATTTTTTTATAGCGAAGGAAAGAAGAAGAAGAAGGAATTCCATACATTCGTAAAATAAAAATAATTTGGAAATTTATAAAGATATTTAAAGGGGTGATCACCAAACACGAGCAGAGTGAAGTAATAAATGGAATACATATCCCCTGGGCTTACAAAACAAAATGTATTGGAGGACTCATACCTTGACCTGTATCACTGAGGCATACAGGAACATTTTACATAAGATAAAATTAAATTAAATATTTGTAAAATGAAGCCCCCCCCCCCCCCCCCCCCCCCCCCCAAAAAAAATGTGCCATTCACTGAAAATTGACAGGATGAATCATTTTCATTACTGAAGATTAGGCCTATTTGGCATACAGAGCTAGACATATATTTTATAGACCAATCGCTATTATGGTGGGTGATGTGGTCAGCATCATGCAGGCTGCTTTTACTTCACAGAACTGCACCTGGTATCCACTCAAGGTGGGTTGACCTGGGAGCCAAGGCGTCATTTCTGGAAGAAAAAAAGTTTAGCTCCTTCAAGACCTGAACCACGCTCTTCACTATTCGCAGTCAAGAGTCTAGCCTAGCTGTTCTCAACCTATGTGTCAAATGACCCTCTCACAGGGGTCGCCAAAGACCATCGAAAAGTACAAATTCACTGAAGTTATAAAGTAGCAACGAAAATATTGGTATGGTTGGGGTCGCCACAACATGATGAACTGTATGAAAGGGTTGTTGCATTAGGAAGGTTGAGAACCACTAGTTTAGCCAATAATGGAAGTAGAGTAGGTTAAAAGAGCAGAAGATTTTGGGGGTAAATAAATGTGTACCTAGTAAAGAATAACCTGTGGATGTATTGAGCATTTGATGGAATAGAGTTCAAGGAGAGACACGGATTGCTTGATTATTTTAGAAGTTACAGGTTAATGTTAAAGGTTAAAGTTGAGAGGATCCACTTTATTGCACCAGGTTTTATCCAGTATGGCTCGGTCTCACTCTGCAGAGTGGTTAGCCGCCAACTGACAGCATCGCACAGAGCACAAACACCGTAGCTCCGGCAATGATCCCCAGGGATCTCAGTAAAAATTGGGCACGTGAACTAAGCGGCACTGCCGAGAAATAAACCCACAATTTGCCATGGAAACCCCTGTTGGATTGAAGAAGTGGATTGCAGAAAGAAAATAAATTTATGGAAACACTGCATATTTCATCAGTTTTGCTTACGATAACAGTTTACCTTTTTTTTTTTTTTTTTAAATAACCTTGTCATCTTTTCATAATTGCAACATGTGTAAAAACTATTAAAATATCTTTCTTTTTTAATTATTAAAATAGTTTATCATTCATTTAAATATCTTTACAGTGAGCAAAATTAAGCATGCATGATTTTTTTTTTTTTTTGGTAGATGGGAATATAAATTAATTTGCCACTGCATGTTTTTTTTTTATATCAGTTGTGTGTTAAAGGTGCTTATTACTTATCATGTATTATTTTTAAATTATTAAAATTGTTGTTGCAGCTTTGGGTTGCAACCTGCTAGCCCACTTCAGATACAGTCTCCACTTCCTCCAAACCAGAGTGCTAGCACTTCTCTTCATCTGAACACTCAAGGACAAATACAGAAAATGGAGCCACTCACCACTCTACAGGTAATTGCTGTCAGAAGCCCACTGTCATAGCTGACTTTTCTTAGCCTTATATGATTTGCATCAATAGAGGACGGAATTAAAAGGTGTGAATAGAATCATTAATGTGGAGCTTTAGTAAGAACTGAACAAATTCTGGTTAATTAAGGGTTGAAAAATACACACTAATGTGGAGCTCAAATATGTAGGTACTTCAGGGAAATAACTAGCTAAATGTGGAGCTATATAGTTAGATAGTCAAGGAAAATAGCCTAACGGTTAAATGAGGTTTCCGGGACCTTTCTACAGGTGATCCTCATCGGCATGGTGGCGCTTTATGTCACCAGGTGTTTATTGCTTGGTGGATGTCCTGGTGGGGTAAAATTTACTTACTTACATAGAGAAGGGAGCTAGAAAGTGAAGTTCATTAGTAAAGTAGGACATAGGGTGAACTGCCCGTGACAGCGAAGGATAAGACGACTTAACTTGAGTTGTTTGAGGGACACGTAAATGAATAAGTCATAATGTATTAATCTATCATTGAATAGGACACATTCAATGACAAGACAGGTAGGAAAATAATTTCATGTCTCTGAGCATTGTATTTTAATATCTAAAGCTAAGGTATGGTAGTTAGTAGTCTTCTTCTTCTTCTTCTTCTTCGCGTTCACCAGCTGTACACTCTGGCGGAAAGTTCTGGTTGATCGTCCACTACTGAACTGCAGTCCCGCTCCAGAACCTGAGTGTTGCGTGTGCATCAGTTTTACAGATCTCATTCTCTTGAATACAGACTGTTGGTTCCTTGCCTCTCCGGCAGATGCACTCCGACTTCAAAGGAAGCTCCCCAATTAGTCGACTCTTACGATATGCTTTTGGGGAGGCAGTGGGTCTATTCTTTTTTTCCCCACAATGGGGCCCCGGAACCCACACGGGGGGTAGTTAGTAGTAATAGTGGAACTTCTCACGTTTTTTGCCCCAAACAAATCGTGATTGGCCATTCATTCATGCTTCTTGACCTCTCACACGTGCTAGACTATGTTAAAGGGGTTTCACGTTGTGTTCAGTGTCTATATTGCACGTCATGTGAGCAATGAGGTACACATGTTTTGCTCGTTTTGTTTTGAGTGGCCCTCGACATTGCATAAATTATAGCCTGCTCGGTCTTCGTTTACGACATGAATTTACTGCATTTGTCAGCGTTGAGAAGGGTTGCTTTTTTACAGCAACACGGCAGCTTGCTGTCAGGCAGACAATGTTGAAGGCCCTTTTTAGGGCCCACCGCAAAATGTTAACAGTTATGAAACCACAGGAGTTGGGCTGCAGCCTCTCGTGGGACGTAGGCTGAGGTTGGTGGTTAGGGCCGGTTCTAGATCTCCTGGACTCATTACAATTGGTCACATCATGTAGTATAGAACAAGTGACATCGCCGGTGAGAGCAACAAATAGAACACAATCTGACACCCCTGTAACATTGAGTAGCGTGTGTGAAGGGTCACAAAGCATGAATGAAAGGCCAACCCTGGTTTGTTTGGGGCGAAAACGTGACAAGAACCATAATAGTAGCAGAAAAAGGAACAGACAGTAGTATTAGTAATTGTTGAAGCAGAATTAGTAGTAGAGACAGCAGCAGTAGTAATAGCTGTAGTAATAGTTTTAAAAAAGCTATAGTAGTAGAAATAGTGGCAGTAGCATTAGTAGATGTAGTAGTAGTATAATTAGTAACGGCAGTAGTAATAATAGTTGTACCAGCAGCAGTAATAGCAGCAGTCACAAAAGTAGCATTAGTAGTAGACTGCCAAACTGCCAATTACACCTTTACACTTGTGCTGTGTAGGCAGGGGGGTCTTTAAGCCTGAGGATTTACGGCTGCATATATATATATATATATAGAGAGAGAGAGAGAGAGACTGAATTTTGTGTTTTATGAAAATTTTATTTAGTGTAAATAATGTTGAGAAATAAAAATTATACTTATGACCAGTTTGACTTATGACCTGTATATATATGTATGTATATATATATATATTCAGCTTTTATGACCTGTATGTCGGCACAAAACTCGCTTGCAAGTCAACGAGGCCCTCTATATATAATTATCACCATTTTGTTTTTGCCCCAGGAAGTAAAGGCAGCCGGCGTGATGCTGACCCCATCACCCATCTTGTGCCGATTCCTCTATAAAAATATAGGTCTAGCCCTACAAGCATTATACGCTTAAAAGGGTGAAAAATGGATCTTTACTACTTTTTTTTTTATGTTGTGTTTGCCAGGTTGCCGTGAAGAACAATATCGGGGTCTTCTACTACAGCTGCCAGATCCCCATGCATGTGCTGTTTACGGAAGAAGGTGAAATGGACAAGAAAGATTTCCTGGCTTCCTGGAAGGAGATTCCAGCCCAGAATGAGGTCCAGTCAACAATCACCAATGTTCAGCACAATGCAGGTAAGACTCAGGTTTCTTTTGAATAAACATTGTTTAGATGTGTTCATTGCAGTCATTTGTTTAGCTGAGGCACCAAGAATACCTCAGTAGATCAATGGTCGGCAAATCGCGGCTTGCCAGCCGTATGCGGCTCTTTAGCGACCTGAGTGTGGGTCGGCCACAGATCAGTTTTGACTCCGAAAAACTTAGTTCTTGACTGGTTCTTGAAAAGAAATTTGGCTCTCAAAAAATTGTTCATCGTCCTGCTGCTGATTTTTGGCTCTTTTGACTAAAGAGTTTGCTGATCACTGCACTAGATAATCTTTTTTTGACTTTTGACTAAAGTTTGCTGATCACTGCACTAGATAATCTTTTTTGACTTTTGACTAAACAGTTTGCTGATCACTGCACTAGATAATCTTCTTTGACTTTTGACTAAAGAGTTTGCTGATCACTGCACTAGATAATCTTCTTTGACTTTTGACTAAAGAGTTTGCTGATCACTGCACTAGATAATCTTCTTTGACTTTTGACTAAAGAGTTTGCTGATCACTGCACTAGATAATCTTTTTTGACTTTTGACTAAAGAGTTTGCTGATCACTGCACTAGATAATCTTTTTTGACTTTTGACTAAAGAGTTTGCTGATCACTGCACTAGATAATCTTTTTTGACTTTTGACTAAAGAGTTTGCTGATCACTGCACTAGATAATCTTTTTTGACTTTTGACTAAAGAGTTTGCTGATCACTGCACTAGATAATCTTTTTTGACTTTTGACTAAAGAGTTTGCTGATCACTGCACTAGATAATCTTCTTTGACTTTTGACTAAAGAGTTTGCTGATCACTGCACTAGATAATCTTTTTTGACTTTTGACTAAAGAGTTTGCTGATCACTGCACTAGATAATCTTTTTTGACTTTTGACTAAAGAGTTTGCTGATCACTGCACTAGATAATCTTCTTTGACTTTTGACTAAAGAGTTTGCTGATCACTGCACTAGATAATCTTTTTTGACTTTTGACTAAAGAGTTTGCTGATCACTGCACTAGATAATCTTCTTTGACTTTTGACTTGCTTTGCTAAAAAAAAAAATTTTATGTTATCGTCATGTTTACCCAAGCTTTTGGTTATAATTGTGACTAGGTTTATATGTGCCATATAAAATGGCTTAGCATTGCTTGCCACCAAATAGCCCTGAAAGGGACTCATGCAGTGTTGATGCGATCAGAAGAGACAGACCCATATACTGTCCCGACCGACGGCGAAGCCATACAATGGCCAGCCAGTGATCTTCTTTGATCTTCTCTATTATTTTTATAGCAATGGTACAGTGCAGACATGATAAGGAGAACTCACCGGGGATCCCAGAAAGAGTTCTTTTTATCAGAAATTTATCTTATCCAGATAACAGTTCAAGCCAGAAAATTGCAGAGAATGAACAAATTATTCTCCACCAGAGAAATTCGTCACATCCGAGATTGTCTCAAGCAGTCGGCACTGCATTTAGCTAATCATTTTGAATATTCTTTTCATAGGGGAAGGGCTGAATGATAAGCACAAGGAGAATAAACATTACTGTAATTTTCAAGGGTCACAAAGTGTCCACGCAGTCCTGTCTTACATTGATATTTGTATCTGCAAAGCGTGTTATGTTCATGTAGCAAAATACACTTTATGAGTACAGGATACAAATACAATAGCAGGGATGACAAATATATAAAGGACCCTCTTCCATGCCTTTCAGGCGTATTGGGTATATAGGGCTAGACCTATATTTTATAGACCAAATGGTACTTGGTGGGCGATGTGGTCAGCATCACGCCGGCTGCCTGGACTTCCCAGGACTGCACCTGGTACCCACTCAAGGCTGGGTCGACCTAGGAGCCAAGGTCATTTTTGGAGAGAAAAATCCGGCCCTTGTCAGGAACCGAACCCATGATCTTCCAATCCTCAGCCAAGCATCTGTTGTGGCTAGCAGCTAGGCCGCTAGGCCACAGCAGCTCCCTGCGACAAATATATACATTCAGAAATACATACATGCATGCATACACACATGCTCATACATACACACATGCTCATACTTATACACACATGCTCATACATACACACATGCTCATACTTATACACACCTGTACATACACGTTCTTACATACACATACACTCACATGTACATACACTAATGTATACAAACACACTCGTACATACATAAACATGCATGATTATATACATACATGTCACTCTGAGACACACACATGCTCAAACATACACATTGACATAGAGACTCATAGTACACAAATGAATGCATGCACAGAGAGATAGATAGATACTTACACTTATGCATACATACACACTCACATTCATACAGACATACATATCCCATATCCTAAGATGCACACACACTCATAGACAGATACACACACACACACACACATATACTCAGACCTACACACACTGCTATGTCCACACAAACTACCTACAAATACACACTCATACTTCCATATGTGTTCTCACACAATTAAACAAAGAATGCAAATATGTAGTGATTTATCAATGTGTGTGTGTCTCTCTCACTCTTACTATCTCCCCTTCCCCCCCCCCCCCACCCCCATTCTCCTGAGCATTATGATTCTAGGATTACCTTACCCTCATAAAATAGGGAGCAGATAATTATCATAATTTTCTGAAAATTAACTTGGAAAGAATAAAGGTTTTGTTTCCAGAACTTGAATTTTGAGTGCACATCCGTTTTACTGATCTGACTTAATAGTATGCAGACTGCTGGCTCCTTGCCTGTCAGATTATTCTTTTTACAAAAAGTAAAATAACAGAACCTTTGTCATGCCAATGGTACATGGAGCTACCCCCCACATTTGTGTAGACCAGTCAACATTCATTAGTTGATATGGTCAACATTATGTCGGCCACTTTCACTTCCCAGAACTTTTCTGCTACTCATTTTAGGCTACTTTGACCTGGGAAACCTCTGTCCGCTGTAGAAGTCTTTGGTGTTGAACTCACGGCCTTCAGGTCGGCAGACCAGCATTTATTCATTGTTCTGTCACATATCCCCTAGAGCAGCGGTTCTCAACCTGTGGGTTGTGACCCTTTTGGGGATCAAACGACCCTTTCATGGATCTCACCTAAGACCATTAGAAAACACATATATACTGAAGTTACAAAGTATCAACGAAAATAATTTTATGTTTTGGGGTCACCACTACATGTATTAAAGGGTCGCGGCATAAGGAAGGTTGAAAACCACTCCACTCGAATGTGTTTTTATCATGTAGAAACTGAGTTGTATTCTGCTGCCGAATTTATCAGATACGGTCTCACAGAAGCTACGCAACAATAACATCTTCACTATTGCTAAACGTAATGTGGAGGGACAGGACATGCTCTACCAGTCTCTGTCGCTGACAAACGGCATCCGAATTTTGGCTGAACTCAAGATCCAACCAGGCATGACCAACTTCACTGTGAGTTTTCTTGTTGTTGTTAAGCTGATGCTTCCTCCTCCTCCTTCTGTTGCTTCTTCTTCTTCCTCCTCCTCCTCTTCATCATCATCATCTTCTTTTTTTTTCTTCTTCCTTTTTTTCTTCAGCATTCTGAACCCATGAGGTTTGTTTCTGCGTTTATTATGTGCCTCCATTCATCTCTCTGATTGGTCTTCTCCTTCTAATTAGTGACTCAAAGTGTTTATACGACTAAATATATATTATCTCTCTACCATCTTCCTTGTCTGCTCCCATTTAGCTCTTTTATAAATGCATAGAAGGTAAATAAATTCCACGTCCCAAATCTCTTGTGTTCCAGGGTGGATATCCGCATAAATCCATCCAGATTACAGGCTTAGATATCAGCAGCCCAGAAAAGGAGAGGGGAGACAAATGACCTTACTTTGTGGTTTCCTATGTAGACATTGCTTTTGCCCGTGGGAAAAAACAACTGACCACCTTTGTGTTCATCTAATGTCTGCTTCTGTCAGATGCCGGGGAAAACCTGTGGTTGTCTCTGCCATTCAGCTCTGGATTCTGGATCCCTTTCAGTATTCAACACAGATGTATTTAATTTTTTAAAATTCTCTCTCTCTCTCTCTCTCTCTCTCTCTCTCTCTCTCTCTCTCTCTCTCTCTCTCTCTCTCTCTCTCTCTCTCTCTCTCTCTCTCTCTCTCTCTCTCTCTCTCTCTCTCTCTCTCTTTTTCTTCCTCCCCCCCCCCCTGACCCCCCCCCCCTTCCCCCCAATTATGTATTTTTTTGGGTTTCATGTGGTTGTCTCTGCCATTCAGCTCTGGATTCTGGATCCCTTTCAGTATTCAACACAGATGTATTTAATTTTTTAAAATTCTCTCTCTCTCTCTCTCTCTCTCTCTCTCTCTCTCTCTCTCTCTCTCTCTCTCTCTCTCTCTCTCTCTCTCTCTCTCTCTCTCTCTCTCTCTCTCTCTCTCTCTCTCTCTCTCTCTCTCTCTCTCGTCTCTCTCTCTCTCTCTCTCTCTCTCTCTCTCTCTCTCTCTCTCTCTCTCTCTCTCTCTCTCTCTTTCTTTCTTTCTTTCTTCCTCCCCCCCCCTGACCCCCCCCCCCTTCCCCCCAATTATGTATTTTTTGGGTTTCATGTTGACCTTGGTTTTTTAGAAGCTCTGTTGTCTCATCAATTGAGTTCTCCAGAAAGATTTTGTGTTGGTTTTTTTAGTACTCTGTTGATTAAAAAGTTTGTTCAGTTATATTGTGCACCTATTTTCTGTTCCCTTTGTTGAGCTTTCTAGTCACATTTTAGTTGGTAACTGGATCCCTAGATCAGCTACATCCAGCCAGCAACTTGATATTTTTGACATCAGACTGCTGTGAATAGATGGATACCCATCAATCTTTATTCTTCTGCATTCATCATCGTGTAGTAAGTCCTTTGCAGAAAGTTGCTTTCATCACGGTCTGCCTAAAAGAAACTTTGTCTCTCACCAGCTCTCCCACCTCTTGTACTTTCATACTCAAGGAGTCACCTATATCCTGTGCACATCTTCGTGTCGGTCGGCCCCTGCCCATCCTTCTGGTACCATGCCTTCTGCTGTTATTTTTCCCAATCCGCCATGGTGCTTGATATGACCAAACATTGTTCAGCTTCCGAGACAGGATGCTGTTTATTAGCCAATCTGATGTTCAGATCTTTTAAAATGTCAGTATTTCTTCTCTTCTTTGTCTATGGTATTCTGAGAATCTTTCTATAGCATTTCAGCTCAAAAGGATGGAAAGATAGTCCACGACTCACATCCATATGTTGATACAGGGAAGATACATGCTCTCAGAATTTTAATGTTGATTTTCTTGCTGGTGCTTAACCATAGACTTTTAATGCTGTTTAACTTAGAAGGGTAGTTGGCATATTGTGTTGTGGCTTATAGCTGGGCCGTGATGTCTGCACCTTTTGGCCCAATACATCCGATTTTAGCAACTCCTGAATTATTTGCCTTTTATAAGTTTGTTAAGGAGTTGCTCTCGCTGAGAGTGGGTTTTCAGGTGAGAAGGCCACAGGCCTGTGTGGAGGATGTGATACCAAGCATGTCCTCCACGTATCCACACAGCTAGGTTTCCGCTGGAATTCTGACCAGACCTGAGATCTCCCTGCTACAGCTAGAGAGCACACCCTACAACATGTGTTCAGGATTCTGTGCCACCGGTCCTGGGACCCCAGTCTTGAATTTTGTGTACATATGGCTACGGAGTCTGTTGTCTCCAGTTCACAATGTAAATAGAATTTATTAGTTTCTTTCATGTGAGGAGGTTGATTGGGTGGGTGTTCAGGTTTGTGTCGAGGGGAAGTGTTCCAGTGTGTTCTCTAGGCTGCCTTAGTTTGGGGTTAGTCTTCCTTAAAAGCGCATCCTGCATCTGCTGTTCTGTATTACTTCCAGTTTTTGCTGAGTAGTCTGCTCTTTCATTTCCCATAATCCCCCCTGTGGGTTCTAGGACCCCTATTGTGGGGAAAACAAGAATAGACCCACTATCTCCCCAACGAACGTATCGTAAGAGTAGACTAATTGGGGGCTTCCTTCAAAGTCGGAGTTTATATGCCTGAGAGGCAAGGAGTCAACAGTCTGCATACAGTTAAGTCAGATCTGTTAAACGGATGTGCACGCAACACTCCGGTTTTAGAACAAGACTAAAGTCCAGACCTAGACAAACAACCAGATCTTTCTGCCAGAGTTTACAGCCAGTGAACCCAAAGAAGAAGATTTCCCGTAATATTTCAGTGGTCAGGGATGCACTGGAGCACAGCCTGTTTGGTCATCTGACCTATTTGGTTCAGCAGTGATTTATGCTTGTTGAACAGATGTTGTCTTTGATAATTACTACCATTGTTTCATGAAAGATAAACTATTTATTCATTGTTTTTTTTTTTGTTGCCCCTCCAGTTGTCTCTGAAATGCAGAGTCCAGGATATTTACCCCTTTATTCAGCAAGCTTTTGACCAGATTCTGCACAATTAACAAGGCAGTTAAACTTGGATGTCTCCTTTCTTGGTTGGACTGGATTAGTTTTTTCACCATATGGCACTGTGTGTTGTAAACAAAGCTATTGTTTCTACATGTGTCGTTAGTTTAGTCATAAATAAATGTTGAGATAGACGTAACTTGACAGGTAGCTCATACAGGAACTGGTAGGACATACAGAATACTAAATAAATGTTATGTTATGTTATTGGATCTACTAGTATCTATTTTATTATGTGTTGGTACAACTTGTTTTACATGTTTTGAAATATTATAACATCAGATATACATATCCATGTATTTACTACACAACAGTTCATTTTGTGAGATCATCTTTATCGCACATCAGTCATGACCATAAGTACTCCCATCTCCTCATGAGAATGTCTCCAAGTGTTTTTAGGCTAACAACTCCCATTCCCTTCTGGTTGATATAATGACGGGTGACTTCCGAATGATTTTCCTGTCTCGCTGCTTCAATTGGTAAACTGGTATACAGTCTGTTCAGTGAAAAATCATATTACATATTACAGTTTATTTACACAACAAAACAGTTCATTTATACAACAAAACACCAGACTGATATTCAGTTTGCATGTGTCGACCTCAGAGTTCAAGGCCATTTTTAAACATTCCCCCTTATTTTGGGGTGGGGAGGGGGAGGGGTCTTAGACTGAAAAGCAAGATTGCTGTCCACAGTTTTGAAGTATCTTCTCCATCTCTGAGTAGACTGAATTGAAAAGTTTCTCTATCTGCCTCTTCCCTTAGCTTTCTCTCACTCTTTCACACGCAGATGTCTTCTCTATCCCTCCTTGTCCCAAGTTAAATAATGAATAATGTCAAAATGTATTTGAGTAAACTGGAATCATTCCTCTCTTTAAATTTTTGTTTTGTTTTTTTGCATGCTAAATTTCAGTGGGGTCAGTTTTTGTTTTCTATGGTTATGTTTGCTGTGTAATTATTCTTTTTCTTAGTACCCTGTCAAAACAGTATAGCTATTTTGTTTTTCATTTTCTTCTTTCACATGGTTTATGTTATAACAATAAAGCTCAGTTTCTGCTCTGTGTCTCAGTGTTAATGAGTAGTTAACTTTGTCATCAAATGCTATTGATGGGCCTGTAATTTGTGGGTGTTCTGACTTTGTATTGATGTATTCTAGACACCATTAAAATAAGTACAGTTTTGCATTTTTGAGTTTTTGTTGACTTGTCATTTTCATTACTTGCATGTTTTGTTTGGCTTTTTTTTAAAAACTATTGCAGCTAGGCTCTTGCCTGCGGATCGGAAGGACATGATTAAGTTCCTGACGAACTCAGACTTTTTTTTAAAATGACCTTGGCTCCCAGGTCGATGCAGCCTTAAATGGGTGCCAAGTAAAGTGCTCGGAAATAAAGGTGGCAAGCTTGATACTGACCACACCACCCACAGAGTGCCAGTTGGTCTATAAAATATAGGTCTAGCCTTGTATACCTAATACGCCTGAAGGTGCGGAAATGGGTTCTTTACTTATCTATTGAGTATCACTGTTAGCTGAGAATGTTTAATTTTCAATTAAGAATTGATATAACACTTGGAACTTTCCCATATGCACTCTGTCCCCATCTTCAGCAGCAAGATATATCTTGTTAAGAGAGAGACGTCTGTTTCAGCAGATACAAAAAAAAAAGCACTATATAACACAATCATCTTCTTACCAACTGTGTGCTACAATGCCATTTGTTGACAATGACAAAAAAGAGAAAAGAAACAATGGCAATAGCTGAAATGAGATTTTTAGAGGAGCACTTAACATGTCGGTGAGGTTAGAAATGACAAAATCCAAAAGTACGTATATGTAGTAACAGGGCTAGATTTTATGAGACAAGTGAAATGGTTTGGCCATTGAAGTCACCTGCCAACTGACAGTATACCCCTACAAGCATTGATATACAGACCTTCTCATGTGGTTTCTGGGAGCCCCATTGTAGGGGAAAACAAGAATAGACCCACTGCTTACCCAACAAGCATGTTGTAGGAGTTGACTAATTGCAGGCTTTCTTTGAAGTTGGGGTGCATTTCCCGGAGTATCAAGGAACAACTCAACTGCACACAAATAAACCAGTAAAACGGATGGGCACGCAAAATTCAGGTCCTGACACAAAGCCCAAATGGACGAATAACCAGAACTTTTTGCCAGAGCTTTCAGCCGGTGAACTAAGAAGAAGAAGATATATAGACCAAGTGAGGACGAGATAGAGATATTTGACCTGAGCCTTCCAAAATATTCACTGGGTGACACACTATCAGGCAAATGTAATTGTGTTGCAGTTTCTTCTTCCTAGAGGTCACCAGCTATAAACTCATAGCAGAAACTTCTGGTTGTTCATTTACTTCTGGACTTTGGTCTTGTTCCAGGACTTACGTTTTGCATGCACATCCAGTTTACAAATCTGGACAGATCTGGCTTATTGGTATGCAGACTGTTAGTTTTTCACTTCACATGTAGATGCACCCGGACTTTAAAGGTAACACCCCTAGTTAGTCACCTCCCATGACATACGGGATAGGAAGCAGTGGGCTTACCCACAGACAGGGCCTCTGAACACATACGGGGAAGATGAACAGAAATCTCAAAGAGGGTATTACTTAAAGATCCATTTCTTGCAACAATCTTTGTGGAGAGGACATTTTATTGAAACAATATTCAGTAAAAGAACAGTCATAATATCATCAGAGGAGAAGTTAGTGAAGGAAGGGATATTCCAAACAGTTGGATTTAAGATAATATAACATTGAATGACATAGAGGTAGACAATTAACAATATTTTGAAAAAGTTAACAAAATCTGGCACACTGGTTATTTTAAAATATGTTGGCTGCACTGTCTTATCAGTGCTTTTCACTCAGTGAAGACCAACGAAAGAAGAGCGCAATGACATTGTCAGTCCAGTATGTGTGAGGATTATGTCACAAGGTCACTAGATCTTAAATATTTTGGTATTTACTTTGACTTTTGTCTATGCTTCCAGTATCATGTCGATGGTGTCATTATAAAGGCCTGTTTGTAGGGTGCTGTCTGGGTCGGAATATAGTGCAGTTAAATGTTGAATTAGGAATCAGCATCATAGCACTCTGGACACTCCAATAAGCGCTCCGTCCCTGTCTTCAGCAGTAAGCGAATAGTTTCAGTTCTGATGGTACCAGTAACTGTCTGATTATACATCCCTCTCACATTTCCCTTGAGTGTTGAGCGTCGGCCAGATCCCATGGTAACTCCTTGCATGCAGTTATGTAGGAGGATAAAAGAAGGGCTAGGCATTCAGTTCAACTACTTCTAGTATGACAATGCAGATAAAGACCTTTATGGGCTCAATAGTTTGGCATACAGTGCGGATAATCTGTCGGTTAATCAACACCATGGCACAAGTTAAAGTGCTCTATTCTACTTCTGACACAACCCTGAGTCCGAAAAATCTCAGTGCACTGCATGAACTCCGTAGCACCGGCGAGGATCCCGAAATACTTTGGGTAGATTTTTAACTCCAAATTTTGCCCAGGCAGTGCTGTTAGGCTACTCTTTTTCGATTTCAAACTGCCAAGGGATTTTTTACGTAATCCACACAGGCATCCAATCTTACTACCCAGAGACCAGGGGAAATTACCAGAAGTCCAGGTGGAAAAATCCCAGCTTTCACTGGGGCCTGAACCCGGGACCCCCAGCACTCGAGACGGGTACCGTGAACAACAAACAGGTTTAATTCACCTTTATAAATAAATATTATAAACTTTAAAAATAAATATTTTAAATTAAGCTATTAATAAATACCAGGTGGGGCTCACAGTGACGTTAGCAGCTAAGATGGAACAAGGACTGCTGTTTTTGTTTTACTGGTGTTTGCAGTGATTGACACTGACTGACTGAATGACTTTCTACCCCACCAGGACATCACACAAGCGATAAACACCCGATGACACAATGTGCCACCATGTGGGTGAGGATCACCGTGGAGAGGTCCCAGAAACCACGTTGCGGCCCCTGGCAAAAGCCAGAGTAGGGCTTCAAACAACGAAAAATTTCATCCTGAAAAGGACGAGAAGTATGATTTACCCTATAGCTTGGCTTTTTGATAATCAGCAGACATCAACTAGAAAGAAAGGACAAAATGAAGCCATGACGATGCTCATTGGGTGCGCAGGAGGCACCTCGTGTCAAGTGATTCATCCTCAGCCTACCAGAGATGGTTACTAGACACAGGACGGCTCACAACTTTCACGACATGGCAAGCAATCATTTACAAAGTTTGAATACAGAGTGTCTAATAAAACATACTATGTTGGTTTTACATACCAGGACACGGCGTGGTGAAAGGAAATGAAAGAGCTGATAGACTGGTCGTGTTTGCAGTGGTTGTCGAAGGACAGAGCAGATATACTGAATGTGCTGCGTTCTAGAGACCTTGAGACAAAGGACTCAAGCGGGATATATGTTTCAGGCAAATGGGGATGATGACTCACGGGCTTAATCCTAGTTTAAGAGCATAACAATGCAAATGGTGTAACCACAGCACTACTGAAACAACACAATTACCTGAAGTAATTAATTACACTATATATTTATAGCTCTGCCAAAGAAACCAGGCACTTTAAAATGTGAAGACCATTGCACAATAAGTCTTATGAGTCACATGACTAAGATTTTACTGAGAATAATTTTGAGAAGAGTAAGAAACAAAATTAGACCAGAAATCAGCTATGTAAAAAAGTAAAGTAAAGGACCTTTTTCCATGCCTTTAGGCGTATAGGGCATATAGGGCTAGACCTATATTTTTATAGACCAATCGGCACAAGATGGGTGATGTGGTCAGCATCACGCAGGCCGCCTTTACTTTCCCGGGACTGCACCCGATACCCACTCAAGGCTGGGTCGACCTGGGAGCCAAGGTCATTTTTGAAATCAGCGATGAACAATGTGGATTTGTAGAAGGAAAAGGTACAAACAATGCCATTTACATCCTAAG